GGGCTTGACGACACACCACACGACAAGAATGAAACCTGCGGCGTCGAAGCTGGCGAGTCAATGGACATGGGTGTATTATATATAGCATCTGTGTGGCTTGGTCGGTGGTTTTCTTCGCGACGATCTCGACCTGTCGGGGGATTGGACTATTAGATGGAGACGAATGTTTCGATTTTGTGAGTATGGCTTACCTGTTTCTTCTTCAAGCGGGGCCTTACCGCTATGGAGTTCAAGTTCCTGCGGTGAAAGAGCAAATTTCACCTTCAGTCGCGGTGGGTCAACAGACCGGTCTACTTGCGAGTGTATTCCAGTGGAAATTTTCAATTGTAACGAGGACTGTTGGGTTGGGATTGGGGATTTGAGGCAGGACTTCGTCACGGTAGTGTGTGGAATTGCGTCTGTAAAAGCATAGCTCCTGTCTTTTGGAGAGATAGGCTCAAAGCACGGAGATCCTTCTTGACTCAGACCTATGGTATCAAGGTCCACATCAGATTCCGAAGAGACACAGGAGCTGGGGGATGGGTTGGTCATTCCATCACAGTTCTCGTCGTCTAGGTGCAGGCGCTCGAATTCGACAGTCAGAGTATGACGGATATAGATCCGCTGGAGGTGAGATTCAACATCATTTTCCTCCAGGGTGATGATGGTTGGGGGCCGTCTGATCATGTTTTTTTCAGGGATGAATTATTCTCAGTTGCACAGAGAGCCCTGGGAGGTCCCGTATATAGAAACATCGTGTCTTAAGAGGTGTTTGGGGAGGAAGTCGCGTATCTTCACAAATTAAGAAACCTCAACCAGGATTATGGGAATATCGAATAATCCTTGGTCTCTATGAAATAGTAAATGCTGTAAATGCTGTAAATCAGTCAGTAAATCACTAAATCACTAAAGCAGTAAAGCAGTAAACCCGAATATAAATAGTGTAAACATGTCCAATCTATCCCGTACACTCGAAACTGGACAAATCAAATATGTCCATTGCATCTCACCACCCCAAAAGGATTAAAATAACCTACATGTCTCTTTCGGTACTCTGAATCTCTCTCTCTCTCTCTCTTTGTAAGTATTCAGGAAATGTCTCTAGAGGAAATATTAATAGTCAAAAGTCAGGCTCAGCCCCTCGACACTAGACCCAATTTCTACGGAGCCTCCTGTTGATCCTTCCCCCCCTCTCTCTCCAACGTCGACTCTCTCTCAACACACATACACCTCTGTTTCCCCCAACTCTTCCTCGGATTATGCATCCGCTGCATTTCCGATAGCCTCTCTTTCGTTGACCTCTCGGCCTTCCTTCCCCTTAAGCCCTCCGGCACATATCCGGTCGCGGCCAAATCACAAAATCTCCGCCATGAACGGGGATCTCAGCCTATCCCAGGCTCTGGGAGGGCTTCGGATAGCCAATCCAGACGATTCGCCCCTTCCAACGGAGGATGCGACCGCTGGGTCAACAGGCTCCAGTCCGTTCGGACGGCCGGCCGGTTCGGTATCAACACAACAAAATCCCGCACCTGACGAACACCCCTCTACCTTTCCTCCTGCACCTATCGAAGTCCCCATGACAGACGATCGTCAGACTTCATTCCCTCGAGCCTCCCCCGAGGTACCAGCACCGTTGCAATCAGGCACATACCAACCGTACTCGACTCCACCCCTCTCAACACCTCCGAACCCCAACCGACCCCTTTCCTCCGTATACTTGAATGGCTCAGCAACGTCGATCCTCCCCCGTGATAACACATATCGAATTCGAACCGATTCCGGGGCTTCATCCCAATCTTCGTCTCAGGCGCGGTTAGACACACGAGGAGGATCGTCGGCATTACATGCCGGTGTTCTGGCGCGCGACAACTCCCACAGCGACCGATCCTACCGGACCACGCAGATCCCGGGCAACGGCCCGGCGGTGATGCGTCAGTCATCTCGAGCACAAGCAAGAAATGGTGGCGCGTCTCAGATGCCGCGAACGTCCTATATGGCAGAAAACGGCCCAATGGCGAGTAGTGAGGATTGGCAAGACCGTGGCGCCGCGGTCTCTGTGAGACAGGAGGTCGACGCCAATGGTCAAACTGTCTCTCGCTATATCAAGAAGGGAGTTCGAGACTTTTCGTTTGGGAATACTCTCGGTGAAGGCTCCTACAGTACGGTCGTGTTTGCAACGGACCGACAGACTTTGAAGGAATACGCTATTAAGATCCTTGACAAACGACACATTATCAAGGAGAGGAAAGTTAAATACGTGAACATTGAGAAGGATACACTCAACCGCCTGACCGACCACCCGGGTATTGTCCGGCTATATTACACCTTCCAGGATGAGCAGTCGCTATATTTCGTGCTAGACTTGTGCAAAGGAGGAGAACTGCTCGGTGTTCTCAAACGGATGACCACATTTGACGAAGAGTGTACAAGATTCTACAGCGCCCAGATCCTTGACACGATAGACTATATGCACAAGCGCGGCGTTATACACCGAGATCTGAAGCCGGAAAATGTGTTACTTGACAGCGGGATGCATGTCAAGATCACTGATTTTGGGACGGCAAAGATTCTCAAGACTCCACGAGCTGATCCCAGTTCGAGTGGCATTCTTCCTCTTGACTCAGCCGAGCTTACACAGGAAGAGCGGGCGAGCTCTTTTGTCGGCACTGCGGAGTATGTCAGCCCCGAGCTGCTGACCGACAAAAATGCATGCAAGGCCAGTGATCTTTGGGCTTTTGGCTGCATTATATACCAGCTCTTGGCCGGTCGGCCACCGTTCAAGGCTGGAAACGAGTATCAGACTTTCCAGAAAATTGTGGCACTCGATTACGAGTTCCCAATTGGATTTCCTACTGTTGCGCGTGATCTTGTCGAACGTCTGCTCGTCCTAGAACCTGCTCGGCGTCTTCAGATCGAGCACATCAAAAATCATGAATTCTTTGAAGGTATCACATGGGGCTCAGATCTATGGCAACAGAAGGCACCCCGCTTGAAGGCCTATGTACCCCCCGCGCGCGACCCCATCAAGCTCAATGACAGTAACAATGGGGAGAGTCAATCTCCAGTTGTCTCCACTGCCCCCATGAGCGCACCAAATGCCAGTTCCCGCCACCTTCCACGAGTGGTAACCGAGCTACCCCCGCCGAGTCAGCTCGATATTGAATGGTCGCCAGTACTAAGCAAAACGAACGAGCGGATTTTGAAATTGGGTAATTTGGTTGTTCTGTCTTCCGCTGCTTCGCACAGCCCGACGTCCAAGAACAGCAGTGGCGAGTTTGAGGCACCCAGGAAATTCTCTCGTTTCTTCTCAGGAACTGCCACAAAGAAACGACAGCGGTTGGTGATGGTCACATCATCCGGGCGGGTCATTCTGGCCGCGTCCGGTGGTAGTGATAAGAAGATCAAGCTTGAGATTCCCCTGCTTGCTCCGGGGACAAGCTACAGAAGTACGACGGATTCCAAAGGAGTTTCATCCTGGATCGTGGACACGGTATGTAGTTCATCATTTTATCTGTCAAAGGGACCCCATCTAACGAAACCCCACAGAGGGAGAAACATTACGTTTTCGAGGATCCCAAGCCATCATCAAGCAACATCGGTGCCACAGCGGTCCAAGTACAAGAATGGCTCGACGCATTAGACAGGTCCCGGGAGATGGCTTCACAGCAACAAAGTGCCGGCTTCCCCGACGATGCATTCCGTGACCTTTCCTCTGGTTTCCCTAGTCCCGCCAATACACTAGACCGCTCCTCTGACATGCAGAGCGATGATAGAGGCCCACCATCATCGAGTCGGAATCACCTAGTGAAACAGCAGACCGGTGACACTGAGTCAACGAAAGGAAGGAAACGATTCAGCAAGCGTCATTCGAAGAATGGTCTTGCTGCGGTGTTCTAGTGACATTGAATACGAACTACGGATCTTGCGATCCATCTATATGTCAGTGCTAAATTGCCTTTTGGAGTTGTTGGTATTAAACCGACTTTCCTATACTACCTACTACCTTACCTCGCACCTCATCATCTCATCGTTTGAACACGGACCACTGCGTCCACCTGTCTCCCCAGCTCTCTTGCTTTTTTTTCTCTTTTTTTTCCCATCACGGGCATCTTACAAAGATGGGAAGCCATCGCAGCATATCGGTTATCTTACCTTTTGCATATTCCAGTGACAAGCGTGTTATTCTGTTTGTTTGTGTTCTTGGGGAAACATGTTTCTTGCATTTAGATTTGGAAGGGAGCGCATACTTTGTTCTTTCATTGCCTGGCTGCCTATTTCAGAATACCGATTTTCTTCTTGTCGTTTGCTATGTCGTCCGCTGTTATATATCCCTGATTTGGCCTGAAGCATTGCAACTTCGAGACTTTTTTTCATTTGACTCTTTTCACTTCTTTGTCCCCAAGGTCCCTCCCTATTCTTGGTAAGTCATCAGGATTTATTGAGGCTATTGAGGCTGGCTCGTCTTTATTATCCTTGAAAAACATGAAATCAAGGCCCATGCGCCCGCGTCCTCTCACTTCCCTCCTCTTTCTCTTATATCTCATTATGTCTTCAAGGGGGAATTCGGACAAAAGAATACTTTCCTTACTTTGATATCATCATCTTTCTCATTGCGTCTATTGTCTTCCTCGCTTCCTTGCAGTGACATCTTGGTCTAATCTCATTTGCATTGAGATTTGCTTCTTCTCACTTCATTCCTCTTGGAATTCCATCACTTGCCTCTCACCTTGGTATACACTTTCGTCCGGCTTCTTTCTTTTTGTTGCTCTTCTTCTGCCCTAGGCCGAGAAATGATATACCCGATTTTCCTATTCACAAATTATTATTCTACCGTCTCTCTACAATCCATATATATTTTGAGATTCATGATGAAATACTGCGTATCCCAAGCAAAGTGATCTTAAATAATGTACTAATTGACAGGTATATATGTGTAAGTAGATACAAGTAGACATGAATCGTAAAAGCAAGAGACCCATCCAGGCTGAACATCCGTATATATGTCCATTGTTTCCCCCAAATTAAATGAACAACCAGTCGAGGCGGGTATGATCCAGCTCCTCAATCCAGTCAAACTCAAGATCGGCATCATTATTATCATAGCCCTGGTCATTAGAAACATTCTGACGCTCACGGCGTTTGAGATCCTGTTTCTGCCACATGAGACGCAAAACCCATGCAGCATTGCGGACATTAACACTCGTCAGGGCCTCATAGAGCGAGCAGAGTTTTTCAAGGATAAGACCCCGTTGCGAAGGACGACATTCCGCGCCAGCGATGAAGGTGGGCCAGATGAGGCATTTGAAGTGCGGGTCCGAATTGGGGATGAGGCAAATTTGCGTTATGAGGTTTGTGGTGATGAGTCGGTGATCGAGCGGCAGACTGGCGTCTGCCCAGGGGGGGTGAGAAGCCTTCTCTGGCGCGTGAGAGGACCCGGCTGGTGTAGAGGTAGACGGCGTCTTGGTAGGAGGTTGCGAGTGCGAGACGGTACGTTAGATTTGGGACGAAGAAGACATTTTGCATTTCCTGGCTCCAGGCTATTGGGTCGAAGTTGCGGATTCCTTGGAGGAGGCTTGCGAATGAGTCTAGAGTCAGGGGCTGGCCGGGTTGGATTGGGGTTGGCAGCGCTGCTGGTTGGGGTGTTATAGCGGCGACTTCGGAGTCTGGGTACCAGAGGGCGTGGATGAAGAAAATTATTTCTAGGAGATAGGCGGGACATCCGACCCAAGAATTTTCTTCAAGACGTTTGAGGATCTCTGGGCCCATGGATGAGGAGTAGAAGGGCTTCGAGAGTGCGCCTGGGCGAGCTAGAGTTGATCCCATGATTTCCATTCTGTATGGTCAGCCAGAACTTTACGTTATAAGCAGAGACCCGACTCTTACATTAAACACCCGTCAAGGGCAAAAGCGTCCAGGTCGTCGAGGATTCCTTGTCCCGGGCCATTTTCAGGTCGGGCCTTGAGAAGCTTCTTCGCGCCCTCGATATGGTAACTCCAAGCCCCGCTGCCGGACTCAAATATGTCTAAAAAGGCAAGCAATATGATGGCAGCTAAGGTCCTGCCGTCATGTTGCATCGTCGGGTTGTGGATATCCATAGACAATTGGCGAAGGGCGCGCTGTTTGTACTCCAAGAAATGATGATATGCCTGCGAAGTGGGTTTTCGAGAACTTGCCGGTGCCACAATATCTTCAATATCCTCTGCTGACATCGAGAGATTGCCTGATGACCATGGTTCGACAGACGAGTCCGATTCCGATACAAGGGAGAAATGAAGAGCTCCAAGAGCAGCGATGCTGCTAGCGAGAACAGGTGAATGATTGACTAGCGCAGTAAGATCTCGGAACGGATTTTTGTGTTGAGAGTAAAGGGCGAAGTCGTTAACCATATATTGATTGTCTTACAAGTTAATTGTCAGCGGAGCCGCGGATAATGCATTCGGGAAGTCTCACAGTGATGTATGTAGTACCTTGAGAACTGGCTGAGATCTTTGAGCAGTGGATCTACCAGTCCCCATGGGGCTGGAGTATAGTCGGCAGGAGGAGTACTTCGAGGAACATGAACAACTGCGGTATCCTGTTCCTCGGTTGGATTGACCCCAAACTGCGCAATTTCTCCCCCCAGTGTTGAATTCTCCACCTCGAAAACCCATCCATCGGTCTCCGGACTAGGTTGATTCCCAGAGCTGTGTGATTCGGCATCGGATGGGGATTCCGCGATAGAGAAAAAGTTGAATCCGCTGCTCGCCGGAGTCGAATCATACGTCCCGGTATCTGGCTGGCGCTTTGGCTTGCTAGGTGATACTTCCACATCATCAAAGCTGCGGCCCATCATCTTTCCTCGACTAGCCACTCCACCCTTGACCCAAACAAGCGGTTTCTGGTACCCCAGACATTCTTTCCCCGCATCTCGACACTTCCGACAGGTGGGCTTGCCATTGTCGCATATGATGCGACGTCGTCGGCAGGTATAACAACCTTTGGTCATTCTCTGGGTGTTGTGGGAGAAACGTAGTTTCTTAACTGGATAGCGAAGAACTGAGCCACTTGTGAAGTTTGTTCAGCGCCACTCGCCATCATCGGTTATGGTCAGGATTCGGAGGCAGGATGTTGACAAAGCCACACGACCATTTCTAGTCGTTTAATAAGTGACTCTGTCGAGAAATATTAGAAAAACAAGTTGTGAATCCGTCATGCTCACCGTTCTTGGGATGATTCAGGAAAGCTTCGCCCGCGGGGCCGGCGGGGAGGATGACTAAGAAAGTCTTCTGATGATCGAGACTCCCAGAGCTGTCCAGGTTTCTTCGTTAACCTTCAACTTGCTTTTCCATATCAGCAACTTGGAATCCCATGGTGGAATATTAGAAGAATTGCAAGATGGTTTTGCATCTCTTGCTCCGAAGTATGGAGGTTAGTGTTTTTGTATTCGCAGTTCGCAGTTCGCAGTTCGCAGTTTGCCACTCCGGTCTTTACTAACATCGTTCCTTCTTAGGTCTGGCTCACCGTTCGAGTACGTTGCTTCAACAATGATAGGTTTTGTGCTTGCGCTTGCATTCTAATATCATCTACACAGCTCCTTCGAAGTCCGATCTTTCATCGCATGGTGGGCCGAGTTCACCAGAAAGTTCAACATATCAGGTACGGGGTGCCTCCGGAGGAGCAGGGAGGCACCAAACTGGAGGGACAAGGTATGCTTGGTACCAATATTTGGTGAAATGCTGTGTCTGACCTGTTCTTGTTAGATTTCGAGTACAGGAAATTCCTTAATCATTTCAAGGAAGAGCTGAAGGACCAGATGAAGGGAAACCCGCGGAACAAATTTTAATACCCTGCTTGTTTGATAAGGAAACCGATGATACCCACCTTGAATATGACACATAGTATATGCTTTTACCCCCTTTCGCAAATCTGGACTATTGCTTTTTATGATCATTTTGGCGCTTATATCGGCACTGGGTATACAGTGGGATGCACTATCGCACTCCCTGAAATGCATCCCTTGTTTCATCCGGAGAGTGAACTTGATTTGAATCATTGACTTGTCCCTTCTACTATTCCCAGCTGTTAATATATACAGTCTGGCTGGGATTCAATAACTGGGGCATATATATTGAGTTTCAAGATTGTTCTCAAAGCTGGGAAGGGAAACAAAACAGGGGTTATTCCCTAAAAGTTCTCTATCTATTAAGTCAACCTATTCAGGTAGAAAAGTACCTCCCAGATACTGCAGTTACAAATATTGATCTACCATTTCAGATTTGATATCAATTTCCTCTGAATCGTCTTTACATTGCTGCAGGATAAAAACCGCGAAGCACAATTTCTATTAACTCTATCACTTCGAACCATCTTTACTAGTCTTACCTGACTCCCGAATAACAAAGAAAACCGATCATGATGAAGCCGGACCCTTCTTCCGGGGAACCACGTTCGACCGGGCTCTCATAACATGCACCCGGACCATCTCAACCAAATCATACACTCTAATCTGAACACGCTGGAGGACTGTTGCTCTGGCGGGTCTCCAAAAGATTTTTTGTGTATCCCGGGGGGCTAGTCCGCATGAACATGACCTCGACCACCTGCAACTTTCCGCCCATCGGGCTTAGACTCTGAGCCCCCTTCTCTTTCTTTTCGGTGTTGGTGAAAGCAACAAACCTGCGTTTACCGACGCGCTCGGTATCTAGCCATTCCAGCTGGTTTTCGTTGCCGAAGAACGTCACGGAGAGCATCTTTCCAATGAGATGCGAACAATCCTCCTCAGAGGAGGGATCAGCATCGGAATTCGTGATGTTCTTGAGGTTCCTGATTACCTTATCAGACAGACTAGTTCACGTTAGTATTCATTACGAACTTAGGTTGAATGCACATCATTTGGAGTGGTACTTACTGGACGACAATATGTGTGATTTGTGAGACATCGTAATACTCGAACTTCTTTTCGCATCGAACATCGAGGGTAGGAATCGAGGCTGCGATGACCTCGGGAGAAGAGCGTGTCTCGGCCATTGTAAGGCTTGAGGTGGTGGAACTTGGTTGTCGAAGGGTTGATCGGGTAAACTGGGCGTGGAGTGGACTGGGATCGCGTGTGTTGAATTTTGAAGATGCTGGAAGCGCTAGATGCTGAATGGGGGCCGCTGAATATGCCGTAGATATGCTGAATCCAGCTGGGTATTAAGAAAGCTGTATGCAAGGTTGTTGTTGAAGCTAAGTTGAAATGCTAGACAGGAAGTTGAATATTTTTATATTCAGAGCTGCTGAGGAGTAAAACTGAAAAACAAAGGACGAGATTAGTCTATTTTTCAATTTCCGAGCAAATGAGATAAAGAAGTCATTGGCTTCGAAGCATACAAAGTCCCTTATTTCTACCTCATTGAATGGCTATTATGGGAGATCTGCCCTTTGTCACTTTCTGCGAGGAATCAAAGCTTCCACTTGTTTTGACCACAAAGCAAGATCCAAATATAAGGTCTCTGCTAAACTTTCTATTTATACAGGCTATAATAGAAGTTCCAGAAGTAGATGCTCCGCTTCCATTGTGTTGATCTCGATTAACATTAGAGCTATATAGATGTGGAGAAGATGTAGGTGGATGTGACGGATATTAGGGAAGCGAGACAGATCGCCCCGGTTGGACTGTGAAATAAGGGAAATATTCCTCTCGTAGGTATCAGTAGTCCATCGAACTAATTTCACTTTACTCTCTACGTTCGCCTCATATCTATGCTGTCGATGGGTAACGTTGAGATTAACCTGACTATTGATACCTGTCAGAACGGGGATCAAAACAAAGCCGCTCATATGTTAGGATAGTTCCCGGGAGATGTGCAATTTTATTCCTATAGAAGAAAAGGCGAAGGGCAAGATTAAAAGAGAAACAATATCGAGGAGAGGTCAATGTCAATATTGAATCTTCTCAAGGTCTTCACATGACATCTTCTCGACCTGAACAACAGGTAAGCAGACCCTCAGGTTCCAGAAGAGGCGGGAACCCCGAAATGCAGGCTGTCAGCGACACGCCACATGGACCGATTGGGGCTAGGGCCGAAAGGATCCGAATTTCAGGTCAACTCCGGCTATGTCGGCTTTTTTATGAAACTAAGGAGTCAAAGGGGGGGCATCCAGGTACCCGAAGGATTAGTGCTACATGACACAACACAGAAATCCCTGCAGGCCAGGTATTTTATAAGAAGATATCAACCATTCATTAGGCGACTTGTGGTAACAGCTGGGTAGTATTTATGCAAGATGTCATACAATAAGAGGGAAGATCAGAAGCAGATCATGGGAGATGTGCTAAATATGGAGCCGGAAGCGAGGGGTACGTTGACACACATGTTTAGCCCACATGTTCAGAGTTTTTCGTGTCTTGATCTCTAGGGTTATATATGTTGTAGGTGTTGGTCATTATAATCACTTATTAACTGACTGTATTCTGTTATAAGGTGTCCCTTTCTATGTTGTACTCGGTATCTCCATCATTTTACAACATCCAACATCAGAAAAACTCCAAACTTAAAGACTAAAATAAAACAACTCGTTAGCCCAATTGGTCCAGTTCTTGCCCAATTGGGTCAAACGTTCAGGTGACCCAGTTTTAACGTGTTTTTCTATTGAACCACCAGCCAATCAGAGCAGCAGATGCATTAGCGCGTGGATTCAACCTGAGACTAGCGGGATCTAATTAGGACTAGTGGATTCCAAAGTTCGGATCAAACAACACATTCGCTTGGACTCCTTTTTCATTTCCCTTGCTTATTCTTCTTTATCACATCTCTTGACTTCGGGTCAAATTCTTTCGTTACTTTTGTACTCCGTACTGAACGTTCGTTATCACAAATATGCGTCTTTCCAGCCTCTCGATTTTCATCCAGGCTCTGCTGTTGACTGCGGTCGCAGCTCAGAGTGCTGGTGTCTCCAAGGATATCACACCTCCTCAGACCACTTCGTCCTCCACTTCCGAAGCGCCTGAAACCACATCGACGACTTCATCCTCCACAACCCCTGAAGAGACTACTCCGGAACCAACTACCACATCCAAGTCTCCTACCACCTCGGAATCTTCCACCTCTGCCGAGCCTACCACCACTGAGCCTACCACCGAGCCTACCACCTCAGCAGAGCCCTCCTCCACTCCGGAGCCTACCGTCCCTTCGACCACTTCGACCACTGAACCCACCTCTGCGACAAGTCCCGATAGCGAGAGTACCACCTCGTCCCAGAGTACTACTACCACCCAGACCCCGGTCATCAAGACCGTCACCTCATACGCGACCAGCGATGGATCCACCGTCGCCAACGTGATGACCACCACCTCCACCCCCGTTGGCGGAACCGGCTCCCCTTCTCTTAACGGTGACAAGAGCTCTGGCTCTAGCGGTGTATCTACTTCGGACAAGAAGATCATCATCGGTGTCGTGGTGGGTGTCGGCGGTGCCATCATCATCGGTGCTCTGGGCTTGGTTTTCTGGAGAATCCAGAAGAAGCGCAACGGACAATACGGCGATGAGGACGATCTGATGGGCGGCACTGCTGTCGGCTCCGGTCCCCGTGAGAAGGCCCCCAGCCCATCTGGCAACACTCCCTTCAAGAACACACTAGACCAGTATCACAACCCTGGTCCTGTCAACGCGGCATCTAACTTCTAAACGTACTGCGTTGACTTGGCACTCGTCGAAGTGTAAATCTTGTACGATCTTCATGCTTTTCTCAGGCGCTATGGACAGGGTATGCGAGCTCACAGTTGCGTTTTTCTTCGGTTGCAAATGCTTTTTTTTCTGCATCTTTTCGGGTGTTTTCACACCCACCCTCTCCGTTCATTATAGACTGAATATCTGTGCATTCATTTGAGCGTTTTTTTTTATCCGGCAACCACCACATTCCTTTTTTTTTGTCCGAGAACGCGACTCTCGATCCCTGCACGACTGACAAAAATTGCGGCACCACCTCCCAGTTATGCCCGTTATCTATCTTTGATTCCCCGTATCTAAGCGCTCAGTGTTCTCCTGTGGCGAACTCCATTGTGCCTTGACCAATGTTCTATTCTTTTACCTTTTGCAGCATCAGCCGTCAAGATTGTATAGTGTTGATAGATGCGTGCTGCAACGGTACCTTTTATCTTGATCAGTATGTATGTAATTCAAGGCAAATGAATCCACAGTATTCAAACTTTATATGCGAGCAAACTATGGTACATCGATCTAGACTAAGATCGACATCCGATCTCGATCCGTATCCACATGTGATATACACCCCAGCCCTCGAGATGGAAAGTATAGTATTTTCAATCAACTTGATTCTTTGTATAGATTTTGTATAGACTTTTAAGATGATACAGCTTTTTTCCAGGTCTGCACCGGGCTCATATCACAATGATAATAGATTTATAAAATGGGCTAGACAATATCGAATGTTCTTCATCCACTAAGAGCTATGTCACCTTTCCTTATATATGCCTTTGCGAGCTCTAAGTTTGTGTTAAATGGTAAACCCTGGCGTCAGGATATCCATAGATAAGTAGCTCATATGTATATCAAGGAGTTCAGATCATTTATGTGTCTCATGGTTGTCTGGATTTAGTAGATTAGATCCTGGTCCAAACTAATACTTGCTTATCTGACAACAGTCAGATTTCAAGATGACTGAAACTTTCTTTGGCTTAATATGGGAGTTCCAAAACTTTTTGAGTTGGACGTTTAGAAGACTATGTAGATCAGATATGATTAGAGGGAAATCAGAAGATGCCGCCAACATGGAAAGGGGAAATAGGAGCAAAGAAAGACAAAGAATAAGATATAGAGATATAAACCATCAAATTATCAACCGAAGGTAAATGCCGTTACACATATATGCCATCATAACTGGCCTCACAACAAGTACATTCGGTGCTTGCTAAGCGCCAACCACTAACGCTTACATGGCTACTAGTATCCCCAGTAGCAGCACATGTTGCTGTACTGATGAGAACGGTCTGGGAGTCAAAGTCAAAGCAGTCCGTCTGTCCACCCTCCGTGTAGAACGCGTAGAGGACCTTAGCACCTATATCATAGGAGGCAGCCTCTCCAGCATGGGCGACATCAGGCCCCATAGACGTACATAGACGTATTAAGAGGATCACTGCCAATTAAAAGCAATGTACATTTAGCTCACTAGCCCCATCAACCGAGGAGGGCTTGGACCAAGAAGCAAAACCAGTAGGAACTTCCTATTTAGTTGTAGTGTGAGCATCGACTATCTACATCACATGAATGTGTACCCGGATCATCCAAGCCCATTCTGTAAATATCATGAATCGATTCCCATGGAGTGCATACATCGTACTACCTCATCTCCCGCAGTCAGCCCTGTCATGAGGTTTTTCCAAGGTTTATTGAGGCTCTGGAAAGAGCGCCAAGAGACCAGCGCCTCAGCTGCCAAGAAATCCGCCGAAACCGCAACAGGATATGGCCTCTTAGAATTATCGCCCCCCAACTAGCCAAGCAAACAAATGATGAGTTGGAAGTCTCTAAGAAGAAACGCCCCCAATCAGCCAAGCATGCACAAAGTGAACCAACAGAAATGATGTCACTGAGGTGCCTAACTGTCAACTTATGTTCACTTGGAAGGGCATAAGTTATAAGTTGGTATAAAGAAGCGTATAAGCCCCCAAACTGGTGTGGGATGCAGAAGTTTTCCTAAAATCATCCTGATCCCTAAATAAGATAATATCCAGTTCACTTTTATACAACAAAAACAATGATCCAACTCAAACCATCCACACTCGCCCTTGCCCTTTCTCTACTCGTTTCCTCCACCCTAGCAGAAGATGGAGAACTCTCCTCCAGCCTTGTAGGCTGCAACGAGGTCTCATGTCCCAAACAAGGTTCGGATGACCGCTGCACAGTGGGAGACAATACCTTCCTTGGAATCGGACTATCCCGCATCCCCGAAGTCCCCTCGTCTCTTGAGGGGTTCTCTCTCGTAAAGGGTGTAAATGTGTCTGCTGCACTGGCTGGAAAGGACAATGACAAGGCCACACGTCCTTTCAACTCATTCTACTACCTCGGTACACCCTCGGACATAGAGACCACAGATTTGTCCGGCTGTGTTGTTGTCTTCCACGATGCCCCGTCCAAGACATTTGACGGGTCAGAACTAGAGGGCAATCGAAATGGAACTGATATCCGCGCTGCAAGCGGTACCTGTTCCGATGTCGTTGACAAAACATGCATCGAAAGGCTTACGGAGAGGGCAACGAACTTAGCTGAAGAGGCTGATGGAAATGTCTGCACGACGCTAGGGCGAGAATTGGAGAAAGTTTCTTTCGATGAGTGTGATGGATTTGCGGGTACAGGTAGCAACCTTGGGAATTTCACTGTTAAGTCGCTCGATGATCTCAATGCGGTTAAGAATTCCTCGGACTGTTGGCCTATTCAGCCCAAGTCTGATCAGTTGGTTGAGATTGCGAGTGTCACTACTCTGGTAAGTGGACTTTCGTTCATGTTTAACATAAGCTGTCGTTAATGTATACTCTGTAGAAAAACTACTCAGCACAGGCTATCTTTGATGAGGCCTATAAGATCACACCCGTTCTCACTGTGTTCGCTAGGAAGGGCAACAGCAGTCTTGTCAACCAACCCGCTTCTCAGTTAACATGTCTGAAAGTTGTCACTGAAGATAATCCCAGTGATGATGAAGATGGGAGTGAAAATACTGCGGTGGTTGTTAGGGCAAGTGGGTTTGCTGCTGGAATTGCAACACTAGCTGGGATCTTTGCGTTGTTGTAGATATTATATTGGATGGACTGTTTGAAATAGCCAAATTGGAAAGAGTACTAAGTGATGTTAACAATTGGATGTTGGAATATCAGTATGTATCTACCACTAGTCTAGTGGTACTCCGCGCCACATGCAATACAATGCAAGGGGGAAGAACACGCTAAATTAGCGCGACTATCTCATCAGGGACGTTATCTCTCCATCAGACCTCTACGGAGTAAGAACTACCTTACTCTTAATATCATTCTTAATATCAAAGCCCTAAAATAACCCCGAAATCACCAAACCCCAAACCCCAAACCCAAGATTGACGCAACCGACTTCCGCATCCGAACCACGGATACGCCAAACCCAACTCCATCACCTCCATCGCCTCCATAACCATCCACTTCACAATGTTCGCAACACAATCCCCCCAAACTCCCTTTCGCAAACCCCACTACTCCCCAACTCGTCCCTCGCCACTAAGCAAACACACCACGACACCACCCCTATGGAACATGTCCCCAACGCATAGCATACAAAGCGCGTCGCAAAGCACCGCACCGAATCCATTCAGTAACCCGCCACCAATCTTCAACATCCAAACCGAACCAATCGCCCGACACACAAGCAACCACCATTCCCCGATCCCAATGCAATTCAACGCGTCCGCCTCAGCATCAACAACCCCAACCCTAACCCCAAACTCCTCAAATCCCTTCTCCATCCAGCCACAAACCCCCCGCCTCGCCCACCTCACCAACCCGCGCAAAGCCAAAATACGAAGCGCGCTACGCTTCTACAATCGCAAACCCGCTACAGGGAGCGGCGGGTCTAGCGCGCTCGAAAACGCGTAAGATGTTTCTTAATCGCGTGCGGCATGAGCGTGACGATGGACGATTTGAGGCGCGCGGGGAGCAGATGATGCGGATGGAGCATCTTGCTGATCGGAGACGGTGGGAGGAGAGTATGGCGCGGGATGGGGAAGGTGTTGTTGGTGGGTTTGAGGGGGATGAGGATGATATGCTTCCTGGTATGTTTTTTTTTTTTTTTTTTTAAAAAAAAAAGAAAAGAAAATTCCTTTGGGATAGGTTGTGGATATGTGTGTGTTGCATTGCTGACTTTGCGGCTTTTGTAGATGACGCCGATGCGCTTGATGAGTTTATATCACAGGAGGAGGCTATGGAGATGGCGCTTAGGGAGACGCAGTCTGGGGTTCCTGCGAGAGTTGGGGATTTACGGTCTAATGGGCCCGGTGTTCTCTTTAGTGATGATGATTATGATGATATATTCATGGGACTGTCGGAGCCTCCGGGAGCTCCGTGTGAGTCTCAGGATATGGATATGTCGTGAGCAGGCTAGGCCCACGGGTTGAGTGTTGATTTTTTTTTCTTCTTCCTTTTTGCGAGGCATTGCATTGTGTTGGTGTTTTTGATTCCACCTGGGTTGGGCGAGATGGGAATCCGGATATATACATCAAGTAAATAAGGGTATATGGACGCGGGTTGCGCATATGTAGAATACAGAGACGGACGGTGTATGAATGGCAAAATAAACAAGCAAGCCTCGGCATCGAGACGATATCTTCCTTTCAAGCTTCAATAATACAATTTCAGGATCATATCACTGCTGCGGGCAATCAGGCACCCCGCTAGCACCAGCCGCCATACCTCCCAGGTCTTCCATGAGGGGATTCGAAACGAGTTCCTCAGGCGGGCTTCCAGCCGCTTGCATCTAGAGACATAGTCAGTAAATGAACCTCGAAACAAGATCTGTCGATCCAAATGCAAAAGTAGCAACTCACCTCCTGCATCCTCTCCCACACATACTCCCGACACTTGGGATCGTCATCCGAGAATCCCTTCTCCTCGAACTTCCCCACAATCTGCTTAACAACCCGCGCCTGCGTCTCAAACCGCTCCATATCCTCAGCCGAAACCTTGCCATTGCCCTTATTCTTCTCAATCCACGGACCGAACTTGACATCCAACTCTTTCATCGGCTCATACAGCATCTCCTTATTAGACAGCTGCTCCATCATACCCATGAACATCTTCGACAGATCCCCATCTTCACCAGCACCCGATGCCCCCGCCTCAACAGCCTTGAGCAACTGCGCCAGCATATCCTCCGAGATATCATCTTCATTACTTGCTGCTGCGGTAGCTTTATCACCGCTTTCTTTCATGCGACCCATTGTGCGCTTGATGGCGTCGTTGAAGGAGTCGGCCGGTTGCTCTGCGCCTGCGCCTGCAGCAGGCGTACTAGAGGAATCCTGAGTGCTAGGAGCAGAGATGCCTGCCGCGGCAGCGGCTGCTGCTAGATTTTCTGCTGAAGCTCCGGATCCAGAACCGCCCTCCTCGGCCATCACGTCGGCAAGCAGCTGTTTGAGGAAATCGCCTGGTGGGATCCCGCTCTCTTCGAGCTGCTTTGCGAATACATCGGCGCCTTGGTCAACAGTTGCGTGGAGGTTGGGGTCTGAGCTGCTATTGGCGCCCCCGCCTGGTCCCATCATGTTTGCCATGTCTTGTTCGAGTTGCTTAAGGAAGGCATCTTCGTCGAAGTCTGGGGGTGCAACCCCTGTCGAAGGATCCAGGGTTGTGGCAGAGGGTGCGGGCGGGTTTGCGGGAGGGGATGGTTTGGGTTTGTTGAAGTCGTCGAGGACGTCTGTAGGTGTGAGTGTGAATCATTCCGCGTGGAGGGATGTGAGGGGGAGGGGGAGGGGTAAGGAAGAGAGGCGGGTATGTGATACCATCTAGCTCATCGAAGTCCGAGTCTTCGTCGTCATCATCTGCAGCTGCTTTCTGCGACTGTGCTGGTGCTGGTGCTGGCGCGGTGTCAGCATTTGGCGGCTGAGATTCCTGTGTAGTTGGTGCGACCACGGTGGGAGCCTCTTCGTGGCGCTCCTCGGTCGGCAAGGGGGTAGCCATATTGAGCGACAAGAATAAGCAAGTCTGGTTCTCAATTGAAAATACTGCCCGGTCGGGATGAAGGTTAATTTTTTGGAGGTAAAAAGAAAGTCTGGAGATGAAGTTGACATGTGACGGATGTTTTGGTGGGGGAAGTGCCGATCGCCGAGGGTTTACATTTTGCCTAGGTCTAGTAGGAACTACATAGTAGTTACTACAATATGTGTAGGACTATATTGTATATAATAATTTACAACATATAGAAAGTGAAGATAAAAATGAAGATATTGATTCAAAAGTCAAAGTAGTTATTAACCCTCGAGGTTATCCATATTCGCCCCCACGGGCACGGTGTCTAAATCGAGATTGACTTGGCTGATGCGGGCAAGGAATACAAAAGTACCGACATCTCCTGATGAGATCCAGCAAGTCCAAATATACAACATACAAACATACATATGCTGTATAAGATCTAGCTCCAAATCGTTCACCGACAAAACAATCTACTCCGCACCTTCAACACCAGGATATGAGATCATAAGTCCAGACCAGATGAAGTTGTGGTCACTAAATTCTTGGCATAATACCCCCCCGCATAATCTCAACCAGGTTGTTCCATGCGAGAAAAATCTGCATCTGCAATGCATTCCTTGTAAGTCCGGGGAAGGGGCGTCATCCCACGATGATCCTTCATTGGTGTCTCCGAGGGGGCCGTCGAGAGTAGCGCGTGATTCGCTTCCAGGTGCCCCAATGGGTCAGGGCTATGGGGTCATGTGGTATCAGAATAGGGCGGAGGACGCCGAAGATCCAATTATGGTCAATACCTGTTACCTGTACGGAATACGGAGTACGGGGTACTAGTAGGGTCCATATGGACAAAAATGGGATGATCTGTTAGGTGACCGGTATCGGCTATACGGCTTTGCGTATGACATCTTCTCCGCGGACAACTTTTCAGCTTTACACTTGCTGCAAGTTGAGAATTACAAATTACGAGTTACGAGTTACTTGTTACTTGTAGTACGGAGGTCTCTCGAACATTATAACATACAAGGTTATAACCATTGAACATTGAACATTACTAGTTCTGAAACAGTCACCCCCACAAATCCTTTGTGGATTCTCGAAAAGGATAAGGCCATTCAACTAAAACGTGGAACCCGAAGAACCAGTAAACCAAAAGAAGAAAAGAAGGGAAAAGGGAAAAAAATAAAAAAGTCAAAAGAGTTCAAGCTGGGCAGGTACGCGAGCCCCTCCTGACCGGGCAGACTTTTTTTTTTTCTTTTTCTTTTTCTTTTTTCTTTTTTAGTCAATAGGTTTTACACGTTTACACTTATTTTTTTTAATTTTTTTTTTCTCTTTTTATCTCAATTCCTCTGACTCTTTCTTTCTCATAATTCGCTTTTCTTTTATGTCACAACTTGAACTCCCTCTATCTCGCACGTCCCTTCCGACTTAGACTTAGCCGCGCGCCTGTGTCTTCCTATCTCCTTTTATCCTTTTTATCCTTTTTTTTTTTTTTTTTTTTTTTTTTTCCCTCTCTTTTTTTTTTTTTGCCGGCCAGCAGGTCCGGCAACGCGGGGAAAACTGGCTGTGTCTGTTCCGTGTGCGGAGGGCCGCCTACAGGCTTGAATTTATTGAATTAGATTATATAATGGTCTCAATGGTTGACCATACCGATATGGCCATGGATTCAATCGTGCCTAAACATGAACCTGGTCCTGATGGTTCCATCAGTTCCACCGTGTCAACACCAGATCCAGAAGCCGAACCTTTGACTCAGGATGCCGCCCAGACTCAGAAGAGGAAAGGAGGCAGAAAACCTGTACGTAACATCTTTTTTTTCAAATCTGGGGCCCCGCAATTTCTTTGTGTCACTGTCCTATGTCGTTATCTTTCCTCAAGGTTACATTGTATACTAACCCCTTCAGATATATGCCACCTCCGAAGAACGAAAGCAGCGCAACAGGCAGGCCCAGGCGGCCTTCCGAGAACGCAGGACGGAGTACATCCGTCAGCTAGAGACCACCATCAAGCGCAATGAGGAATCTCTACAGAGTCTGCAGCAGAGTCATCGCAGTGCCGCCGATGAATGTCTAATGTTGCGATATAAGAACTCCCTGCTGGAGCGGATTCTCCTTGAAAAAGGTAAGGTCCCTACCCGAACCTCTGGTCCAAACCTCAACTAATCCCCCAACCCTCACCAGGCATCGATGTACAGGCCGAACTTCGCCTGAAAACAGGGGCGCCGGGCGCTCCTCCCAAGGCAAACCCTATGCCCCCAAAGTCAGCGCCTAGCGCGGTTGGCGCCCGCTCCAACCAACGACACCCCGCAGGCATCGCCTCGAAGCCCGAGACGTTCGGCATGTCGCAGCGGGAAGGTGCATACGGCATCCCGTCGCCGCAGTTCCAAGCAACCCCGACGTCCCACGTTTCCTCGCCCTCGCACGCCAAGTCCCCCGGCTTCGGCTTCCAGGGCGCCATGTCACCTGTGGAGGCCGGGCGGCCCCAACTCCTCCCCCAACCCCGAAGCTTCAGTCAGACTTCGCCGCCGGCAATCAGCATGCCGCAGACCGAGCCGTCAGATTCGAAACCCCAATCCCGTGGTGCGGGAGCTATGGGTCCTCGCGGTGCGCGGGTCGCAGCGGCTGCTTACTATCCCTCTCCATTCCAGAAACACTACGACCAACTCGGTAAGCTTATCTTTGACTTCTTTTATTACAAGTTCTTCCCCAGCTGACCCCTCAAGCAGAGCAAGAGTACGATGCCCAGGCCGATATGGTCGACGAAGACCACGACGGCTCAACATCATATGTCCCTGGATTCAACCCACAGTCTGTCGCCTCAGGCTCCCACAATATGTCCGGTTTCAACCAACCACCAGGCGAGGGCACGCCCAGCGATTTCGGCAATGCAAATCAGCTGCTTGGTCAATACGAGCCGATGCTGGATACAGATCCATTCGGGTTAAGCGCTAGCATGCACTTCCCCCACGCCGTTCAACTACGAGCACAACAACTCGAGGCAATGAACGGCGTCCTAAAATTTGTCTACTGCATCTTTTATTTTTCTTTCTCCTTTTCTCTTGTTTTATATTCATATATCTGTCCATCTTATGTGGCAAATGATCATCTCTTCCTAAAAGTTTGATTTGAGCATTCCCCGGCGTTGCGAGGGTTTTGATACCAACGTTCTCTTGTGGTTTTCTTCAGAGGTATATTATATTACATATTGTATATGAATCGAATCTTCTCATCACGGCCATTAGCAAATTTAGCCTGCATCTGCATATGTTTTTATCTGTTAAACCCGAAATTCCACAACTAGAATCAATGATACTATTACTTCCTAGCCCTCTAACCCTAGAAACTAACTCTCCATCTCCGCTTTTCCCACAGTGAAGGCTCTAGTTATACTCATCTACCAGTACGTGGAAGATATTATCTTGGCGGAGGAAGTTGGTTGCGTTCCGGGTTTATTTTCCGTCGTTTGAGAGAGATTATTGTTACCGTTATGACTATGTATACTACGAATAATTACTAGGGTTGTTAGTTTTATCGGGTTTTGTGTTTATTACAGGACAGAAGACGAGGGTCTTCCGCTATTGCTTCTTTCTAATATACATAATACCGACATACGAAGTGTACTAGTTAGCGTTCTGTGAGTTTGAACCCACTCTCTAGATCCAGATGGAAAGACTTAGCCTTAAGTATAGTTGCAGGCAACACTATATATACCACACGCATTTCTAACGATGGGGCTGGATCACATCACACCTAGTTGCATGTCACCAAGAGTTCCCATAAAACGAACGTGGGACCTTCCAAAACTACAGTTACGACAGCTGCCTGTTGGTTTGTCATGCGCTCTACGCTTGCGGGAGTATTTCCCCGAGTCCGGTTGGTTTAGTGCCAGCCATACTCATGATTATATCAGATACTACATATGTTGCAAATATACGACACGAAAGAATGGGATCGCCTGGGTTGTCTACGCTGTTGACGTGCTTAACTCCGAAATCCGACATGGCGATCTTATTGGCTTGGAGATAACCCGATTGTATTTCACCTCGGACATTAGTTAGTTACTCAATAACTCTGCTATTTATAAGCGAGGGAGAATGATAGCTAGCATAAGATTTAAGACTACTATGGAGTTAAGCAAAGCGTTATTTCCGGGTTGTAAACGGTTGTTTAGTTCCTCGATGAGCTCGATCTAGTTATAAAAGGTTCACGACCTTGCTTTCCGTATAGCTTTCGCCGTATTCAATTGCATGCTTCAATAAAAATTTATATCTGGGTGAGAATCCCTGAATCCCTAGACTTCCGCCTTTTATACTTCACGCTTCATCGACCTTCCTCCCTACAACCATTTTCATAATGCACGTCTTCGTGACTGGAGCCACCGGCTTCATTGGCCGAGCAGTTGTCGACGAGCTCATAACCGCCGGCCACACAGTAACTGGCCTCGCCCGCTCCGACGAAGCCGCCGCTGCCCTGACAGCGAAAGGCGCCAGAGTCCTACGTGGTTCCTTTCGAGACCTCGAGGTCGTCAAACAAGGAGCCAGCGAGGCTGACGGCGTGATCAACCTTGCATTTGACCACGACTTCAGCAAGTATGAGCAGAACTGCCTTGACGAGAAAAACACCATCGAAGCCATAGGTTCGGTCCTGATCGGAACCAAGAAGCCTCTGGTTACCACCACTGGAACCTTGGGGCTCGTCTTCGGGCTCACCAAGGGCAACGTCGGCACCGAAGACGATATCATTGATTTCGAACATGCGATGAACGTACGCGCTCGGAATGAGAAGGTCGTTTACGACCTCGCTGAGAAAAAACGTGCGCGGCTGTGTCGTCCGTCTGCCGCCTACTGTACACGGCGATGAGGACCGCGCGTTCATCGATAGGCTCGCTGCTTTGGCCCATTCGCAGGGTAATGCCATTTACATCGACGAGGGACTAAACCGCTGGCCTGCTGTTCATCGTCTTGACGCTGCTCGGCTCTACCGACTTGCCCTAGAGAATGGTGTTGCTGGAAGCAAGTACCATGGTGTGGGTGAGGAGGGTGTCGCCATGAAAGATATTGCTGAAGCTATTGGTCAAAATCTAGGTCTTCCTGCTGTATCTAAGACTGTTCATGAAGTGGGGAGCCTTGACAGCTTCGTTTCTTATGTTATGAGCATAGATAACCCTACCTCAAGCAAGAAGACCCAGGAACTCCTTGGCTGGGAGCCAGTTGGCCGGAAGCTTTTGGATGATATCAAGGCCGGAGTTTATGCCCAGAAGTGAGGAGGTCGTTCATAGTTTATGAGCTCTTGGGGGATTGTATTCGCAAACACCATATACTACCTTTTGGGATAAGGGAAGGAAAGAGTTGGGCATATGTCGACACCGGAATGTATATCCAAGGGAGAAAATAATGACCAATGTTAATTACTAGCCAGACGATGCAACAATCCCCACTCAGATGTCAACTTAAATCCTAACTTATCCATCATATTTGTGTTATGGATAGCTACATGATTACATAGCTTCTGCAAGGCCGGAATAGAGCACGCAGGTGTAGCCCACAGTCAGATCGACATACTCCACTGGGGACGTGGCGGTTCTGTGTTAAGCTAACACATGGACCACCATATATAGAAATATTCATATATATTGTAGGATCATATACCAAAAAGGTGGATATAATATGTCCAACAGCGAATTAACCCCGTGAGGATGAGAAAACTATACTCTCCAGAGCAGTCCTTGACGTAATGATTACGTAAGGTACCCTAAGCCCTAGACTGCGGGAAGCCAATCAGCGAGCGCGGGCATCTTCGCTTAGGAGCAGAAGCCGCCTTTCCTGATTAGTCACCTTACACCCTGCAACCACAAACCGTGGACCTCTCTTCACCCTGCTCATTCATCATCATCAATCTTGACAGGCCGGATTCCCTTGGGTTCTGCCTTGTGCACCGTTAACTCCTCTAGACCGATTGTCTAAAGTTGAGCGCCTCCCCCGGAAGGTCTCCGAAACACAACAGGCGTCATGGCGGAGTCCGTCCGGTCCAAGGTACGCTGAATTGGAGCTCTCCTGCGCGTTGCTAGCGACGCAATGTTGAATGAAATCGCGATCTGGAAGCGATTTGGGGGATTCAAGTGAATTTTTATTTTTTTTTAATGTTCAATAACTAATTTGAATTGTTTGATTTCATATAGAACCTCTACGAGCTTCTGGGTAAATTTCCCCTCCCTTGAATCCAATCCTCGGCTATCTTATCCGACGACGAAGAGCTCTTTCTATTCGGAAAAAGAATCAAAGCTCCATTCGCATCCGTTCTTCAGCCAATTCATCGCTAACGTTACCTATCATCAGGTAACGACCCAGAGCTCGACCCTAGCAGACCCGCTCCTCCCCCCACCAAGGCTATCGACCGCCCCGTTGACCGCTCCGGAAAGCGTGATGCCCCTAAGGAGCAACCTGCTCGTCACACTGAGGCCAACGCTCGCCGTGGTGGCCGTGTGAACGCTGGCAACGAGGCCGGTATGTGGTTATAATAATCTTTTTTTTTTGTCGGAAGAATCGGACTAATAATTGGACAGCTTACCGTGACCGCAACGCTGGCCGTAACAACAACCGTGAGAAGTCCACTGACGAGGCTGCTCAGCCCGCCCGCCGTGGTGGCCGTGGCGGCCGCGGTGACCGCCAGTCCCGCACTGGCCAGACGTAAGCGATCCGATCCCTATCGAATGAAACGAATAAACCCGAAGCAAAATCATGAAACACCATGAGATTTTGCTGGGAATATCCAGAAACGAATGAACGAAACTAACCTGAACTTCGATAATATAGCGACACCCGCAAGCAGGTCCAGCAGGGCTGGGGTGCCGAGAACGGCGAGAAGACCCTGGACGATGAGCGCCAGGGCGAGAAGATCGCCAAGAAGGAAGAGAACGAGCCCCAGACTCCCGTCGAGGGCGAGGAGCAGGAGGAGCCCGACAACTCCAAGTCCTTCGCCGACTACCTTGCCGAGAAGGCCCAGCGCGAGACCCTCGCCGCCAAGCCCGAGCGCACCGCCAACGAGGGCACCAAGCTCGACAAGAAGTGGGCTGCCGCCAAGGCGCTCGCCAAGGAGGAGGAAGCTTCCTACATCCAGCCCTCCCAGGAGAAGGCCAAGCGCGAGAAGCAGCGCAAGGAGAAGAACTTCCTTGACGTTGACCTCCGCTACGTCGAGCCTCCCCGCAGCGGCCCCGCTCCCCGCGGCCGTGGCGACCGTGCTCCCCGTGGTGACCGCCCCGCCCGTGGTGGTGAGCGCAGCGAGCGTGGCCGTGGTGGCCCCCGTGGTGGCGACCGTGCCCCCCGCGGTGACCGCCCCGCCCGTGGTGGTGCTGCCCCCCGCTGCCCGCGGTGGTGCTCCCCGTGGCAACGCCCGTGGCCCCGCCGGCCCTACCGTCGACGAGAAGAACTTCCCCAGCCTCGGCGGCAACTAAATTGCCTGACGTTGTCGGGAACTCGTGCTCCCAGACACGGATGTCCTTTATCTTCCCGACTCTTCCATCCCTTTTCTCCATCTGCTAGGTGTGCAAGTTCACCCGGAGGTGGTATCTATTGTGTCGCTTCATCTGTGATGGTTTTTATTTTCTCTTTCTATGGGGGATTGGGCTTAAGGGGAGGTTGGTGGGATGTGAAGGATTTTCCGTGCTCTGCTGGATGCAAAAACTGCCCAGATTTAAGTTTTTTCTTTTCTCTTGGGAAAAGACATATTCCGGGTTGGTCTTATATGTGTGTTGTGTGTGTGTTTACATTTGCCTTCGGTGAGCAAACGCGAATTGGATGACTGAATTCGACGGGCCCATGTAATTTGAATCGATCCAGAAGAAGTCAACAAAAAAATAGGAACGCAAAGAAATCTTCAATTGAATTACGGGACATGTCTGCTTCTTATACTCTAGACAATCAGGATGTTGTTAGATCCACCAGTGGGGTTGTAGCATGTATACGATGGACTTGCACAAAAGTAGACCAAGATCGGGCTTGTATGTATACTTCGATCTACCCAAGGTGCTATGGACTTAACCCTATTTAGCTATGTACTAATGATAAGATTGCCAAAAGTACAAAATTCTGGCCCGGGGTATGGATACAAAGAAAACGAGAGACGATAGCAGATCCACAGTGTCAACTGCCTTCCCATCTATGACTTCTCGCTGTGATGAATAGGCTTCTTTCTACAGCTCTCCCTCGCCATGGCGGTTATGGCCCGACATGGTGAAGTCCTTCGCGGCAGACTTAGCACTCTGGGTCCAAACCGCCATGGTCTCCTCGTCAACCTCATCGAGGAAAGACAGGCCAGGCATGGCCTTTCCACCACAGGCACGCTCCAACGCTAGGAATGCAAAATGGCCACCAACGACAGGCCGAGCGAAGAAGTTCGGACCAGGGAAGCCCCCGTCACCCTCCGTGTTGTGCAAGTCCGTCAACGGACGATCAGTGGTGGTCTCATTAACCCAGCGAGCGACGGAGTCGAGGATCTCTGTACGCACAGCCTTCGAGGCGACAGCCATTGAGAAGAACTCCCAATCGGTCTTGGTGTACATGTGGCGGCTGTCGAGGGGCAGACCGTACTTCTGACGCACATAGTGATACCAGATAGACTGCTTCTGGTAGATGTGGCGTGGAACAAAGCCAGGCGAGTCGGTATCGGTATCCTCTAGGTGGAAACAGAGCTGGGCATCGGCATAGAGGTTGTAGATCGTTGTCCAAGAGCCATACCAATCGTAGGCAAGTTTGGCATGGGAGCCATCTCGGGACATGCCAAATTCTTCCCATTTGGCAATGTAGTCGCTGGCGACTTTCTGTGGGTGTAGTTAGTAAATCTGCTAGGACATACAGATGAAAAATGGCTCATACCTTGAAATAAGCAGCGTCGGCATCATGACCGGCTACCTCGGCAATCTTGCTCATAGCGTTAATGCCCACAATTCCCTTAAGGGCCAGATTGGTCTGAAGAGCCAGCCAGCCCGCAAAGTCATCGGTAGAGACTGTCCTCGAGATTAGCTTGGATAAACACACCATCAGAAGAGACAGGAGAAGTGTTCTTACGTTGGTTAGCAGGCTCAAGAGAGAACTCGACCAAATATCCGGTCCACTGTTTCCAAAGACTATAGCTTCGCTTCACCCATTTTTCAGCCTGGTGCTGGCCCTTACTACCGCCACCCCATTTGCTATCTTGGTGAGCAATTCCGGACAGTACCTGTAGATTATCAAGAGGGAACAGTCCAGATGTCTCGCTTTCAGGGCTTGACGAGGGCAACCCCTGTGTTGACCAAATGGACGAGGCCGCGGTAGTGTCTTCATAACGAAGCGAGTTCACGATAGCCAAACCCATGATGAGGATATTACCACACTCTTCGACCGGCATGTACTCGTCTTTCCCGTCTGGATGTCCGGTGGCATTGGGGAAGTGCGTGCCCAAATCGTGCATTGCATACTTATTGGGGTATTGCCCGCTCAGCATGTGCTCGATCAACGGCTCCAAGAGGTACGCCAACCACCGGGGATTCGTGTACATGAAGAAAGGGAAAGCGGGGAAGATGACATCGATAGTTTGGAAGTTTCCATTTGAAGAGATCTCCTTTAGGAACAGGATCGGGTCATCCGGTGTTCCTGAAAAGGTAGTGGCGCCCATGACCTGCCGCGCAGTAAGGGCAACTATGTCAACATAGTCATCGGCTCCGGACAAGTACGCATCATCTGCCACTTGCTGCGAGTAATTGGATGCTAGATAACTAGCTGCCGCGTAATCCCTGTAGTGGAAATTCAGGAGCTCCTCCGTTGTTGGGTACCAAGATTCCCATAAGGGTCGCATCAGGGTGAGTCCACGAGATGATGCATACTGAACAACGGGGATCTGGATAAACGCGAGAGTAAAAGTGACTCTGTCGTCGTAAATTTTGGAGGAATGGCCAAGATGGAACGACTTGGAGAACGCAAATACCGGCGCTCGATCTTGAATAGCGCGGGATTTATTATCGTTGGTGTTTTGCAGAGCTCCAGAGCTTGCAAAGCCTCGGCGTACATCATTCGCATAACCAGACTGGAATTTAGCGTCCTGGGTTTTGATTAGCTACATATCAGTTCCTTTTGACGAGACAGGACTTACAGATGGTCCAGTGAAATGAAGAGTGCCCCATTCCGCGCGGTCGCGAGTCTCTGTGAGAAGAAGCTCGCTCTCCCTCTGCACTTGCCATCGATTCAACGTAAGCTCCTCGTGCTCGGTCTTCAAACTGTCCCATGCCCATTTGATCTTGCTACCAGTGTCTCCGCTGACCCAACGACCGTCAACATCCATATAGATGCTGACATCGACATCGCCTTGGACATCGATTGTGACATAGGAAGCCGGGATCGACTGCCGCAGAGTCGAAGTTGGCGTAATGGGTGAAAGGAATGAAATTGTAATGTCGAGAGGGTTTCCGGTACCAGTGTCAACATGGTAAGTCAGGTTGGTCGTTGAGGCATCATAGTTCAAGCCAAAATATTTGGGAAACTTGATCTTGTAACTGTGATTGGTTAGTACTTAAATCTCCACATATGAGTGTTCTCCAAATCCATACCCTGCCTTATCATCCAAAGATTCATGGGGTTTTCCAAGAAGAGGGTAGACGGTATTCTGACTTGGGAGGTGAGCCATCAAAGAAAGTCCCACTTCCTCTCCAGTGTAGAACATGGGCCATTTTGACCAAGGTGCATCCCGAGCATTTGCAAGCCAGGTGCTCAGATATGGATTTCGTACGATCAAAGGAATAACGGGTGGAGTGAGCGAAGATGCGGTGCTAACCGCTGCCTGGAAGACAGCGGCCAGGACCACGAGTAACAACTGCATGGTCACTCTTGGCGAAGGTGACACAGTGTTTGGTCCCACTATAAAAATCTAGAGATAGAATAATAGCTCAAATTGTGTAACGAATGTGCAATGAATGTGCAACTGAAAGAGTTGTAACAATGTTGAAGAAGCAAAGAGGATCAAGGGAGGAAGAGAGACTGGAAGATGAATGCGGGGGAAGGATCAAGGGATCAACGTTGGAAGTCATTTCCTTGGCTTTTCTATTCTACATAGTAACAAGTTATTCTAGTCACATCTTTGCTTTTTTTATATATACTATTTCTTTTTTTTTTTATAGTACAATTCAAGTCAGCCTTGAGGGTTCTCCTCATCTTTCGATGATGTCATGCGGAGAGAGCAGAAGTATACATAGTACTACATAGTTACTATACATATAATATGCCTATTTCGGATATTATATATAGCCTATATAGCCTATATAGCCAGTCTATTGTACTTTTATCCAAAAATCAATCAGAAGCACCAGTGGTAAGTTAGATGAAAAGCCCCGTTATCTGATCTATATCAGAATGAGGGTCTGAAAACTAAGGCAACATCCACCCTATTATATTCGGTCTACATATTCACCAAACACGGAGAATTGCTTGATGGGAAAAAAAATATTTAAGAAAGTTTACGTTATTGTCATATTCTGAACATCTGTTGATGTTGCCTGTCTCGATTTTTCAAGCGCGGTTGTACTATATACAATATTGGTTAACTATTGGTCGGTCGTGGGAAGGTCTTATATAGACCACTAAATCACTACATAGTATGTATTAATTTGGGGCATCACTTTAATTGTATGTTTATGGGAGATTTAAAAGGAAGAAAAGCCGCTAGTCATACACCTGGATGCATGGAGTCCATAATGTCATTCATCACAAAGGCATTGTTACTCACGATATACCTCAAATCTACCATAGGCGCGAGTCTCTTTTCCCCCCAACCAAGTACACTATTACATATATATCATCAACTTATCCTTGCTAGACTTTTAGTACCAAGTGAATTGTAAACAATAGATCTGTTTTTCTAGAATTTAATCATAGACCGCGCTCGTGGGTCTCTAGCCCTTGTGGATCTAGGACACGAAAAGCACTAGACGCGCCCCAGGCCGGGGTTGAGCACTCGGTGTATATGAAAGTATCGTGAATGTTTATAAAATAGTCCTAGAAAAGCAAATTGAAACACCAGATCGTATAAAATAGATCGTAAGAGACATTGAATGTTCAATATCAAAAAGTCCTATATGGGAGCATCGAGAAAGAAAAGTCAATTCTATACGGAGTACGCGTCTATTAAATAACAAGTCAGTAGTAAAGAATAAAACATTCTAAACCAGACCATTATTATTACAACATAGACAGTATCAAAACAATTGCAATGTTCCCAAATCCAAACGCGTGCTCAACACGCCTATGTGGAGTCCCAGTCCGTGCTCTATACTAAGCTAGTAACTTATCGACTAAACGCGATCCACGCGCCAGACCGTTTTCCTTTTTCTAGACTTCCTGTTTCTACTTCCTACTTCCTACTTTCTACTTTCTACCTTCTACCTTCTACTACTTAACTTCCTACTTCCAATTGTGATAACTTTGAAAGTTGCAATTCTCTGTACATTGGGTCGCGTCGATATCAGACTCCCCCGCAGTACTCCCGGATTCTACTACTTCGACCTTCTATTCTCAATTCTCCCCTCGAAACCACCTGGGTACTATCTTTAAGCTCCATAATGAATTCGACTTCAGTGCAATCAGTGCAATTCAGTCCTATCAAAGACGGACGACGAATTCTCGGCGAGAAAGACTCAAACGCGTGTCTATCCCCCGCCACCCACGCCAAACCATCATTCCCGGCCATTGGGACCCCGGTCAAACGGATTTCGATTGCCCCCTCACCTAAGAAGCTTCTACCCTCTCCCATATTTGCAGGCCAAAAACGGACGCGGGATCAATTAGAGGAAATGGAAGAAAACCTCGGACACGTGCAGACGCGGGAATCCTCTCCGCAGCCCAGCGTCCAATCCACTGTCAATGATGATATGCAAAACCAGGTAAGCTTATGCGAGACAGACAAAGAAGTCCCAAGAATGATCAGTCCAAAGCTAACCCTAAACGCGCGAATAATAGCTCAACCAAACCCCCACACCACAAAACTCACAACCAGAACGCGACCAAACTCAAGATCAAATGGACACCGATCAATCTTTCAATGTGCCCAGCACCCCCGAGCAAGAAGCGCGTAGTGTTACCTCAGACTCCGACGCGCGAAAAGTGTTCATCCAACAAGTATGCGGACCTTGATATCAGTATCAAAAACATTTCCCGCGGGGCAGTTTTCTAACAATTGAACAGAAAGCAAGCCTTCTCCGATCAAGACTACAGAGTGCCATGCGCAATGTGACAGACCACCAATTCGACCGCCGGGTCTCTGAGCTAGAAGCACACAGTCGCAAATGCCCACGGCTCTCACTCTCCGTCCTCTCCACACCACCCCTCTCATCGCGCAAACAATTCACATCATTTTCGTCCTCGCAAATGAAGACACCCCGTATCGGCTCCGCTGGTTTTACTTCCACCCCCTCCCACAGCACACCCGATCTTCCAGGGCGACCTTCCCCATTGTCTTCCAGCGTTGTTCAGCAACGCACAAAGTCACACACACAACGAACACCGCCTCGTGGGCTCGGTTCTCCAATGCAACTGAGTAGTCCTCCGGCCACGGTCATTCGCCGTGAAGCCGATAGGGAAACAAGCATGGGCCCAAGAGCTGAGCTCAGTATCGATGATGTGGATGCCATGTCGCCGTCACAGCGAGGTGACGCGGTCGATGGGCTATTGAAACTCATGAGCACGACAGGCAATCAAAGTTCGGACTCGTGGACTGGGTGATTCAGCGGCATTGTCTTTTTTCTTTGTTGATATTCTTTTCAGATCATTGCTTACCGTGTGAAGCATGTCTGAGTGAATTAAATAGCATTGCATGGTGTATATGGCCAAGGAACGAGCATTCCGAGATTCGTTGATATACTTCGAGTCTTGGTTCTAACATGACAGTGGGTTATCCCATTTTGGAAGCATGCAGCATTATTAGAATAATTCGTCTATACGTTGCGATCAATGATACCATTTGTGCATTTGAACAATTACCAGTTTCCCCTAACACCAGGATACAAGTTTGAAGTCCAATAGCAGTGCCGTCTTCCTCGGCGAGTACATAAGACTGCCACGCGGTGTTTTCACCCAGGAATGCTGCAAGACAATAAAACCTCAAATTGAAGTTCCGGAGAAAAACCCGCTAAATGTATCAATTGATTTCAAGGTAGACAACATCTATCTAAGAAGATGCTCTTCAGCGAACCTTCTTCAACTTATTACGCTTCCGTCCAAGAATATCACGACCCTCATCAATCTCACCGGCAGCCTCACGCTTCGCAGAGCCAACCTCCTTAAGCAAACCGGTTCTAACAACACGGCTCTCAATATTGACACCTTCCTGCTCGAACTCCTCCATCTTCCTACCAACACGCTCCTCAATAGCAAGAACGAGCTCAACATCACGCTGTCCAACCAGCGTGGTAGCCTCACCACTCCGACCCGCACGCGCAGTACGACCAACACGGTGTACATAGTCATCCGGGTTCCGGGGCACGTCGAAATTGATAACTAGCTCTACGGACGGGATATCAAGACCACGCGAAGCAACATCCGTAGCAATCAAAACACGGGCAGCAGTGGCTCGGAAACGAGCCAAGTTAGCCGTGCGCTCGGATTGCGGGAGGATACTGTGGAGGGAGGTGATGCGGTGGCCGAGACGGCGGAGGGTGCGTTCTAGCAGATCGCATGTTTTGGTATGGTTGCAGAAGACGATGACTGGCTTCGTGACGTTTACTTCTGTGGAGAGCAGCGCGTGCAGGAAGGCCTCGCGGTGTGTCATGGGAACCTTCAGGTATGTCTGCTTGAGAGTTGGCGGGATCTTGCCTTGGTTTTCGGTGCCGATCTCGGTCACGAAGATCGGTGGCTTGTTGCCGGCTGCCGGCATGGATTTCAGTGCCCGCACTTCGGCTGTCATGGTCGCTGTGAATAACAGTGTTTGACGCTCGGCGGATGGTGGAAGTGATCCGAGACATGTTTCTACGTCTGGTAGCATGCTTCCTGGCCCACTGGCTAGTAGGCGATCGGCTTCATCGAGAACAACCATTTTAACGCGGCGGAGACCGGCTACTGTGTCTTCTCCGGACGTCTTGATGTGATCGGCTAGTCGGCCGGGTGTTGCAATGACCACGTGAGGCCGGTTCGCAAGTTCAATAGCCTGCTGGCGCATATCCATGCCTCCGACGACGAGGATAGGCTTCATATTTTGCGGCGCGGAAACGGCCCGGAATTGTTCGTAGATCTGTAGTGCAAGCTCACTAGAGAAAATAAGGTCAGTGACTGAAAACGAAAGATAAGACTTCTCATATCCACCATGAACATCGAAACATACCGAGTTGGGGTCAAAACCAAAGCGTAGATCCCGAATGGATTCCGCGCCCACTGCTGCATAATCGGAACCGCAAAGGCCATAGTCTTTCCGGAACCAGTGCGACTTCCACCGATACAGTCCTTGCCTTTCAGGATCTCAGGAATACAAGTCTTTTGAATGGCAGTTGGCCGTTTGATCGCCATTGTCGTCAGCGAAGAGACAAGCCAAGGCGCGACGTCCAATTCCGAAAAGGGTGGACAGCCCACTCTGTTTACCCAGCTCAATTGCATCGCTAATGAGAACCGGTTCCTCTTCCTTCGATTCAGGCTCTTCCTCTACCTCGCCCTTCTTCCTGATACGAGAGAGGGTCGGGAGCGGTGCAGGTGCGACGTATGAGTCGTTGGAAGACTCTGAGAGACGGCGGCGTTTGGGGGCTCGGTCGTCGACATCGGGTTGTTCCACGTCGGAATTATCGGATACATCGGAGTCCTCGAACTCCGGATTCTCTGTGATCGGGGGCGCCATCTTGTTTGCGACTGTCTATCAGGACGAAATAATTTTGTGGCAGAAAAAGTTATCTCTAACAAGCGGTGGGAGATTGGAGGCCTGGTTTATAAGGCACTAATACATTTAAACGACCTTGGGAGTTGACAACACAAGCATTGCATAATTAGTCAAATAACTGGAGTCTTTACTATTAAAGAGACTGATTTGTCTTCAGTCTATGGAACAATAATATGCATGAAAGTGTTGATTAATTTATGTTGTTGTCGCCGGAGAAATCGGACATCAATCGATATTTTAAGCAGTATGGTTGCTCTTGCTCATCAAATGGTTTCCAATGATGGTATGGCGAAAAAAAGCAACAGAACCGAATATGAAAAGAAATTTTTATTGCAAGATAGGATATCGTGGGCACTATTTAGTCTACCCTGCTGGCTGTGCTCCTTCTGCGTGAAACAAGGGAGGGGAGCTCATAAGCCTCACCTCGCTCTAGATCATCCTCTTCAACTGCAGATTCCGGAGAAGCTGAAGTTCGGTTTCTCAGGACTCCGTCACCTCCACTCGAATAATCATCCCGGCCCCCGCTAGCCGTCGCGTCATCGTACTCCTCCATTCCGTGGGTGCCACCGACACTTTCCATGGTGAATGGACTAGCTGTCGGTCCGTCGAGTGTTGCAAGCTCCTCGCGGGAAAACCATTTAGGAAGCAGGAACGAGCGTACCGGTATCAGAAGGAGAATGATAACAGGAAACCCGATAGCAGCAATTGTCTGAGTGATAGCGAAAGTCGCACCAAAGCCAAACAATTCAAGAGCGACAAAGACCCAAATGGCGGAACGGCGCTCAATTCGCTTGAGAGGATCCGACGCGGAGGTAAACTTCTCGTCTTCGGCGAGGAAAATCAGTTTTTGTGTAATGCCATTGCCTTGTAGAGCCTGGACACCCATAACAAAGAACAAACCAGCCATCACGCCCTGTGGAATCAAGTGGAGCACGACGAGGAGGGGTCCAGTCATTGTTCCCAGTGTCAAAAGTCCCTGTGCGAAGTTGCTAACTCGCTGTTCTACTACGTGGTCTGTTACTCGGATAGCTTTGCCCTTGTTTGTGTCGTCTTCGTCTGCCACCTGACGGGTGACGCAGAGGGCGGCAGTGTGGAAGGGGGCTTGGGGAATCAGGCCATTGGGGAATGGTATTCCCATAATTCCAGCCACGAAGGTTGTGAGACCGAGGAGCCAAATGTCCCAATGGAAGCCAGCTGGCTTTCGAAGAGGAAATTCGGTTCCTTGGGCAATGAGAGATGACACTGGAAGGGACGCGTCAGTCATAAATCCGGTGTAATTTTCACGCTGTAGAGCACTCACCATTGTGATCAAAGTAAAAGAGAATTGTGAGAAGAATCGCAAATGGGATGGCAAGGAAGATATCTCCGATACTGATATCCCAGAAATGCACAAGCCAAGACCGGTCGGTTGTAGGAAAGAAAGCCTTACTGGTAGGGAGCGTGGCGACATCAACACCCCTCATCTGACCGATGTAGACAAAACCAGTAAAGAAGATGATGGTCAAAGGTGTACCGTAGTCCTCTAAGAATTTCCGAACGGGTCGCTTAAAAAGATTGCTGTTGCCCAGTTCTCCACAGATCCATGAACACATCAGGACAAGTAGTGCAACCATGATACTCAGGTAAGCAGAGGTTTCTCCCACGGAGCCCCATTGTCTGGTGAGAACTTGAATGCCCTTCTGGATATAGATACAAGCAACGTAGAACCCGAAGATGTCGCACGAGAATCGAGTGACATATGTCAGGGCGTTACAGGAATTAGTGATAGCCAGTATCCAATGCATAATCAAAGACCAGCTACAATAAATGTCAGTCAAGTCAATGATCCAAATTGATGAAGGAAACTCACATTCCAATCCAACACATGAATGCAAGATACGGTGTTCCCCGAGGAGCCATGATATCATAGACAGTATAGTTGAACACAGTGATGGGACCTACAATGCTCAGCTTGAGACTTCATAATCATATGGTTCGGTCTTCTTACCAGTAACACCGACAATGACCAGCGGCTGAGCCGCAAAAAGCGCAAATACAATTGCACCAAGAACAGAAGCAAGTAGAACTTCATTGACGCCATAGCTTTGACTTGTCTTCTCGAACATATCCAACGAGAAGGCCAGGGCAGGCAAGATACTACACTTGATTGTGAGCGAAAGGAACAACACACCGAAGGAAGATCTTGATTGATGTCCAACCAGAGCGAGCATACTTAGCAAAATACATATAGACCGTAGCAGGCACGACACGATAATCCCATGCATCAGTCCAATCGCTCCAATAATATGGTGCTCTGCGCTTGACATCGTTGATCATTCCACGGAACAAGTGGACATGCCACCATTTCGTCTGAGGCGAGTGTGCTGACGCTGTCGTCGACGCACGGTGCTGCGAGTTTTCTTGGGCACTGTCTTGTTGGTCCAAATACTGGCCATGTTGACGTGCAATACCATGATAAGATCTACCTGACCGTGCTGAGCGCACGGATGATAGCCGCTGCGACTGCTGAGAAGGTTTCCGCTGAGCGGACGTGGAAGCGTGCATGTTGGGTCCTGGGAGGGACAGATCCCCGTGTGACAACCCTTGCATATGCAATGGTGGGATGAATCCGATGCTTCAGTGCAATACAACTAGCATGGATTTAAGAAGAGCTAGGTACTTGTATTGTATGCAAAGAAATATAGGAGGGCATGAATTGGGACATAATTGAAGGGAGGAGCTTTATTTTGTGGAGAAATGTTGGAGCTGATGAAGCCAAGACCTGTGAGTGGGGGCCTGAGGCATCAACTTCTAGTTAGGATCTGCCCAGCTCGTCCGGCTGCTACGTTCATATACGTGTACAGGGTAGTTAAATACGACAAACTAACATTGAAGCCAAGATTAACTAAAGAGAATTAGTCGTATTACTCGAAACTGCATAGGAAAGAGCAACTATGGAGACATTGGAAAAATTGTTAGCGAGCCGCGGGCTTCTGAAATCAATCCTGGTCGAATTGTCTTTCAAAGCCACCATAGGAAATTTCTTCACGCATGGAAAAACGATTTTCATCGAGATTATTTTCTCGCCGGGAGGCGAGGTCATCACTGGGGAGGTGGGGGTGGGGGAGGCAGGTCGCTTGAAGGGGGCGGAGGCGGGGCATCGCCAGGGGGAGGCGGAGGGGGGGGCTGCCAGCACCTCCAGGGTACATTGGAGCCATACCAGGAGGGGGAGGAGGCGCGCCCATACCAGGAGGGGCAGCACCAAGAGGGGCAGCACCAGGAGCGCCCATGCCAGGAGGGTAAGCCGCATATCCACCGTATCCACCGTATCCACCGTATCCACCACCATAGGCAGGCTGCTGTCCGCCAGGAGGGGCCTGTTGCTGCCAAGGAGCAGTACTTGGGGCAGTACCAGGAGCAGCATAACCACCTTGAGATCCGTAATTGTAGTCGCGGGTTTGGGGTTGGACTTGGGGTTGGTTCTGCGCAGCCCAGGGGGCAGGACCGCCCTGGTTGCGAGATCCATAATCGTCACGAGATCCATAGTTGTCGCGAGATCCGTAGTTGTCGCGAGATCCGTAGTTGTCGCGAGATCCGTAGTTGTCGCGAGATCCGTAGTCATCACGAGGGCGAGGTTCGCGGCGTTGTTGCCATGGAGCCACATCACTTTGGGGTGGTGGTCCCCGTTGTTGCCAGGGCTTCGAATCACGGTCAGGATGGCCTTCGCCATCAGGGCCGGCTTCAATGCGACGGGGCTCGTATTCGCCAGGGGCACCACCAGACAACTCGTTCATCAATTGCTAAGTGAGATGTCAGTATAATGTCCGATAAAGCAGTCATGAACAAGAAAGAACCTACCTCCATCTCGCGATCCACGGCATCACCAGCGCCAACAGCACGATCGCCACGTCTGTCCGCGCCGCCGGCGTTGCGCCAGTCACTGCCTTTCTGGCGATCAGGACAATCGCGAGCCATATGGCCAGCATTGCCACAGACACGACAGATGATGTTCGCAGTGAAGTTACGCTGTTCGGGACAGTCATACTTGCGATGTCCGATTTGACCACCTGAGGATCAGTTAGAATTAATTGCCCAACAAGAAAACATTTTAAAGGTGTTCACTTACAGTTCTGGCAAGCCTGGTTTTCGTCGTCGCGAAGGGTACCGTTAAGAGCAGCCAGCTCACGAAGTTGGTTGCGCTTGAGCTCGTTCTGGCCTTCGGGGATAGATGCGGCCTGATAAATTGTCAATATCGGGGGTTTTGAACCCACAAAATGAGAGAAGGGAACTTACTGTTTCAATGACATTGTGGATAAGCTTCTTGGCCTTGTTAACCTTTTCTTCGGTTTCCGCCATAATCAGGCAGTGAAGATCTTCTTCCTGGTTGCTACCGTGAGCGGCGTCAGATCGACCTTTTCCTTCTTTGACGGAGCCTTTGCCTCGAATGGCAATCTTAGCACCGGACTCGGTCTCCATCTTTTTCAAGGTGTTTCCACGGGGTCCTATGAGTAAGCCAACTGTAAAAATAGCAAGAGCTAAGTGTTAGTGATCCTGTAATTGTTTAAAATATGTGCAGCACCAAGCACCACGGTTTAGCAAGAAACAAGCTGAGGACATCCAAGATGGTATGCCTTGTCAGCTCGAGTCGAGTAGGGACTCGTGATAAACGCAATGGAAGAATGGTTAGGAGTTAGAGGGTTAGTTATCATACTGAAGTTAATCTCTGGATAGTCATTCACGGGGACGTAGACCTTCTCCTGGGTCTTGGTGGGGCGTCTGTAGTCAGAAGGCGGGTTGTAGTTAGGGATGGTCTTGATGGCCTTCTCGACCAGTTTATGACGTTCATCCTCGAGACGCTTGCGATAACGGTACTCGCGAGTGTTCACACGTCTTCCGAAGTTATCGTACTGGGGAGCTGGCGAAGGGGATCTGTTAAGAAAGTCAGTATAGAAGTAAGCACAAATTACAAAAGACGAAAGCACGTACCTGTCACCATCGGCGGGGACAACATCGTTGATTCGAAGCTTCTGGCTAATTTCCTCGATACGAAGGTGAAGTGTGTAAGCTTCAAGCTGTTCGGTGGTAAAGTTCGCCCTGATCATAGTCGGCAGGCCCATAAGACCGGCGGCCTTGTTCTCTTGCTGGTCACCCCAGCGGTTGCGCTTCTTGCGCCTCTTGCCATCGCCATCGGTGTTCAGGGGACCTGGATCGGCTTTGAAATAAAAGTCAGCCTTAATTTGTTTTTAACCCTTTCACCTTGGAAGAAACATACCTTGAACAGGGCTGCGCCCACGCTTTGGGCCATCGGGACCCATAGACGAAGAGGGCATAGAAGAAGGGGTCGCAGTGCGACTTTCCTCCTCTCCATCGTCGCCGCCCATGCGTCGTCGACCAAGCGGGATGTTGTTGGAGCCAGTTATTCCTTGGTTACGCCAAGCCATGACTGCTACTTTGGATAAAAGAAAAAGTGAGTAGTAGATGATCAAGTGTGGAAAGGATGACAGAAGCATTCCATGTTCGAGACACAAGAGGCGAGCCATTCCCACGTGATTTTAGCAAAATCTTATTTAGTAGGCGGTGGCGAAGATATATTCGGCCTTCGGCCCGGATGATTCATTGACCGTTTCCGCTTTACTTTTCAAGTTCATCAAACACAAGTACGGGCGATTAAATGCCACCTGAACACAACTCTCTCATTGGATATTGACTGACCGCCCTTCCTCACCGTCCCCACTCGAAGCATTCCGGTTGGGTAATCAAATTACTGCTGGCAATATTATCCAATAAGAGAGTTTTGTCTAGATGGCCTATTTAATCGTCTGTACAAGTGGTGGTGGTGGTCGTCAAATGGTGGTGGTTGTCCATGATGGTCGTCAAAGTATCATGATGGAAGCGCCCAACAACCGGGGACCGGTTGTTGGTGCGCCCCGGCAAACACAAAATTCCCACCGAACGCAAAATCTAGAAAATAAGTATCTTTTATATGACTTACCAATACAAAAGGTACTTAAGTATCCCGTTAGCATAACACACTTTTTCTCAGCCCTCGAACCAGTTAGGGCAAATATAAGGAGATATAGATAGTGTGAAGGAGGTCTATATCAGTTAGCCAAACTTCGATAAGGAATATTAAGTATGCTAAAATAAAGAAATTATCTAGGTATCTAACCATTATACACTCCATATAATGCTATTTCTAAAGAATTATTCTTCCTCCGTATTAAATGTTAACAATTAATACTACTATTAAATTAATTAAGCTAGACTCGTACTATATATTCGTATACTTTCTATTACTTTAGCTCGTCCGAGTGCGGAGAAAAGTCATGTTATATAAATCTAGAAATTAAGTACCTTTTGTATTGGTAAGTCATACAAAAGATACTTAGTTTCTAGATTTTGCGTTCGGTGGGAATTTTGCGTTTGCCGGGGCGCACCAACACCAGGGGACCTGGTGTTGGGCGCTTGGCACGGCTACTTGGTCAGTACTAGTTTAGATAGTAATAGAAAAGGTTGATTGATTGAGATCTCTGGAGAAAGCTACTTATGTGGGGTGGTGACAGCCTAACTACCATGCCTGATCTATCAGGTGTCCACAATAGATAGTTCTTCTCTTCTTCTCCTCTCCGCGCAATAGACAGTTTCCAGTTCCACCTGTATCTTCTGTCTAAGACATAAACTGTGTACTTATCCCTTATTTCCTTTTGGAGGTTATAGTGGTCCAACTTTAATAGCTATTGTGAAGGCTCATATGGAGCTGACTTGTGAAAACCGAGACTTTTCGATAAAGAGCAAGGGAATACTTGAAAGATTCAGACGACCTATAATTATATGATGAGAGAGAGAGCTAGATGAGAGATAAATCGCGGATTCCATTAGCTTCCTCTGAAGTTCCTCATTCAGCTGCCAGTCAAGTCCATCCTCGCAGCATAACTAGGACTCAGTCTCTCTCCTTCTCTCTGACACAAATTTCTACTTCTAAGGCGTCACTAGAAATTGTGCCAGATCATCGACGAAGCAATGAATATGCCGCCACTGATTCGATAATTCACGCCCGAAGAAGAAGGTAAGTATCCTGGACCAATGTGGAAATCATGTGGAAACCGTCGACTTAATGAATGACAATGGAAGAAGATACTTTGCGTGGAATTGGCGAGGTCACTCTTGAATTTCACCAGGCTCCAGAACGTCTGTAGCCAATTCATCCAAGATGATGTCGTCAGATCGGAACATCCTTCACTTACCACCTAGTTTAGCACCTAGTTTAGCACCTAGTTTTTCTCGTGATGTTCAAGGCTAGCAAACATTCCAAGGTGAAAGTCTAGATATATTAACCCAAGTCTTGTGAGAGCAATGAGAGCACTGAACACAGCATACCAAGAGAAGCTCAAGGCAAAGGAGATTGAAGGGAACGGAAAGAACCCAGAAATTACAAAGTATCGTAGCTTACATCGAGTTTCAGGGCAAATTTCCAATTGTTGCTGCAAATATCCCAGTAGGACCTAGGCTCAGTACCTAGGTAAAAATGGTTTTCAATCTAAATCTCCCAACTGCTTCTCCTTTTTCCATTGTTTCAGGTCAAACGTGCCTTCCCGTAGTTCATCCAGTTGTCCATTCCACATGAAAGCAACCCCTTCAATCGTCTTTTCCGTGCTATCGTCATAATTTAGAAGTTCAATCAAGCATGGTCTTAACTTATATTTGTCGGTCTCATAGGCCGCAAGTCGATCAAGCTGCGTCTATGACAAGATTTCATACGCCATGCCATCAACTACATGGAGCGGCTCTCCATTAAGAAGGGCAGGGTAGGGCCCCCAAAGCTTGATTTCGAACCCTATCACTCTAGCACGACCCATGGCGGGGGGTCGCTCTGGGGATTTCAAGACTTGAGAGAGCGTATGTGGATCCATTAATGTCCTATATAAAAAACAATGTTCTCTTCGGAAGGGATCTCTAGGCCAACTATCTTCAGCAGAATTGTCAGGTTCTGTTTGGTTCTGCCTTAACACGTCTGCCGAATCATTGTATTCAAGGAATTTGTGGAGCATCAGGGAGGGGCGTGTGTCGCTCATTGTGTGAGTATGCAGGTGTTCACCTCAACAGGCCAGAGATCAGATCAGAGAACGTGGGTGATAACACTGTGTATTCTATTATCTCTGCGGTGTAATGCCATGGAGAGAAAGGGAAATAGACAGCTCCCGAAATCTCTCTGCTAGGCTTCCAAAATTCCAACATTCCAAGGTTGGAATCTTGGAAGTCTAGTTGTAGACTTCCCGAGCCCTAATTTGGGAGGTCCCGCTGCTTTTTTCTGCCCCTTTGTACCGCCCCTGGTTGTCGGGATCCCAATTGGGCAAGGTCGGTTTTAGTCATCAAAAGGAGGACCTCGGGAGCCCTGGAGCCCTGGAGGAGGTAGTTATACGAGTGTAGTATAGAACAACACACTTATTAAAAATTGTTAAGTTTACAGTCTCATGGTTCGAATTTCATTTCAAATTATCTGCTCTGCTATTCAATTGTCATCAATTTCTTATCGGTTCTTCAAACTTTGCCTTTGGCATCGGCCTGCATCCCCTGTTGAATCCAAGCCCTGGCGTCAGCAGCTGTCTTATCCACAGCCGCCTTATCCTTGATAAGTTCTTTAATCGTGTGAGGGGCAGGGACATGACGGCCCTTCTCAGTACCCGGTCGCTGGGCCATAAGTTCCTCCCAGGCCTTAACATTCGGGAACTCGTCAATATCAATGCCGGCCCATCCTGCAGCGGCCACCCACCCCCAGTGTGAGATATCGGCAATAGAGACGTGGTCACCGACGATATAACCAGACTTGGACTCAGCCAGGTGCTTGTCCAACACACCATACAATCGGCGTGACTCATTGACGTATCGGTTCACGCCGTACTCAATGTGTTCTGGGGCGTACCGCGAGAAATGATTGGCTTGGCCTTGCATGGGTCCTAGGCCCGCATTCTGGAAGAACAGCCAGCTCTTCATCTCGTAGTATTCCCGCGTGCCCTTGGGGAATGAGATTTTGTAATCTGTATCGTACTGTTCTGTCAAGTATTCCAGAATGCTTCCAGACTCAAACAGCCGGATCTCCTGGCCATCGCTGAAGGTGTCTGTCAAGGCAGGGATGCGGCCATTGGGGTTTATCTTTAGGAACCAGCTGTACGAATGTCAGATCTGTTTGTGTAGAGAGTTGTCGAGATGTAAGCACATACTCTTCCTTTTGAGTGTTTTTCGAGATGTCAATCTTCTCGACCTTGTATGGCAGGCTGCAATTTATTAGCACTAAAGCTTCAAGGAGGCCAAGGAAACTACTATACCCAAGCTCCTCTAGCGCGATGGAGATTTTGATACCATTGGGGGTCTGGGTCGTGTAGAGGGTGATGTTTGGTTGCGTCATATTGATAAACCAAGGAATGGTACTAAAGAGTAAACCTGAGATGATTAAAGAGGTTGAATTATTGCTGTGTTCGAAGATAGATCGATGGTTTAAGTATGTGATGGCTGATGTCATAGTCCACCCCACTTCACGGATTTATAAGCTCGTGCAACTCGCGGAATGTTCTCCCGAGGTCTCCCCGATCTCGGGAGCCGGGGTCGTTGAGTAATCAATATCATATCACACGTGGGTATTTCCCACCTGAGGTGCCAATGCATGAACCCAGCTTAAGTTCTACTGCCTGGGGAGTAAGTCCCCTCTATTATGCATTGCTGACAATTGTACTACCCCTCGGGTGTAGAAGGCTGCCTGTTATTTTCATTCAATGCACTGGAATGCTGACAAAACCTAGGAAAGAACCTAAACAAACCAATCGTAATAGTAAGAGTATGAATGGTGCAATTCACCTTCTTCGTAATCTTGGGCCTAGGTCATTGTCAGTCAATGCCGCACACATTTTGGTCGGAACTTACCAAAGCTTTAGCGAAATAGTGCATCATCTCGTTTTCTTCAATCCAGGCTCTTTGCCTTGTCGAAAGACTCTCCGAGAACGTTTGGGCAGAATCGAAATCTATCCAGAGGACCCTCCCCTGATCCCTAGAGATCATCATATTCCTCGGCTTAGGATCACCATGAAGAACCCCCGCAAGATGAATGTCCTCGAGTATATGACTAAGTTCGTGAAGCCTCGGTTTTTGCAAGTCCCATTGACTCGTAGATGGGTTGGAGGGCTTCCGTAAAGATGTAGATGAGGGACATGGCGGTGGAGATCATTATTGCGATGACGAAAATGATGGGCTCTTGGAAGAAGAGTTGGACTGGGCGAAAGAGGCCTTCTTTTACAAATGTGTTGAGATCAAGGATATGGTCGTGGTTGAGTGGTGGTGGAATTGAATGTATGGTAGTCATATCGGTGAGCCGTAGGGTCTCTGCCCTCGGTAGTTTCTAACGTTTGATAAGTTACGGATACTACCCTTCCTTAAGGGGCATCTACCGTAGCGAAGCTTTCTCAAAGTCCGTAAGTTCCGTGTCGTACTAGTTTGTTGCTTTATTTCTCAGTGAATAACTCATATAGGAGCGCACGACATCCTCGGACTTAAGCTTTGTAATATCGCGTATGTGATCCACCTACGAGTAAACGTTGGTGTAGTAGCTAACGTTGTTAACTGACTTAATAGCATTAACTGCCTTACTACTAGGGTCAAAGCAACCTATCTCGGCTACCTTCTATGACGTGTCGGCTGTCACGACTGCTCTATTGGGGCCTTGTGGTCCAGGAGGCCCTAGGGGACTAGAAGCACTTGGACCCCTCGCCATGGCTCGCGCTACGGCGTTTTTAACCATGGCCGCCAAGTATTCGCATTGCTCTGGGGAAAAGCCTACGGTATTGCGAGCGCCCTACTGATTATCTGCCATAGCTGTCGCTGTGGACTAGGTCTCTTGCTCCGACGACCGCGATTAGGTTCTCCTTCTCGCGAGATGTCTTTAAAGTAAGGGTTAAAACTGCCTTCGACTTTGTCCCTATCTTACTTAGCTTTATGATATTTATGTTCGTATTGATGTCTATTCGGAAGACGCTTTGTCCGGCTGTATATAGACGTCTAGCTTAGTGCGTGGCGGAATACTAATCAGTGAACTTAGAGGGTTTTAAGTTGTCTTAACGTTAGTAGTCTTAGTGATTACCAACTCGGTTAACGTCTATGTATGGGTTGCTTGCTGAACTTGGTCTGTTTCGTGAGCGGTGTCTTACGTAGGGATTGTGGTAGTTGGCTGAACCACAGTAGTCACAACCTATATGGTCTCCTGCGGAGGGACGCTAGGAGCAGTGGGTTGCATGACAGTGGTCACTAACTCAGTGGTGGTCTATGGAGCGGGAACTGCAACCGGAATCGGAGTCACAGAGATGGTGGTAGTCTCCGAAGAGGTAGAAGTTGTGTTCTGTGGGGCAGGAGCAGTTTGCTAGACCACAGTTGTCACAACTTATGTGGAGTTTCGGCAGGAGCGGTTGTACGTAATCTTCGCCCGCGTTGAGCCTTCCTACCTAGGTACCAAGTGTAGACCTCTGGATAGCCCATCAATGGGCCCATGCCTCCAGCCCATAGACCAACCCGCAGTGGGTTATGGGTTGTGGCTTCGAAGCCAGATCAACCCCCAGACCATTGATAGGGGCCTATGAGGCCCCCATCAATGCCCATTTCTGTGCACAAATATAGTCTTGGCACGTATAAAGTAGCTGATTAATGGCTGTATTTTGCGTATATACCAACCTGTATATTCAGTATTATTAAATTATCATAGTAAGAAGTGGGAATTAAGTAGATATTATACTGATTTTAGCATCATAATACTAGATTTAATATAAGATCTCATACAAAATCACTCTAAAAATATCCAATTTGACCCGTAGACCACGAATTCGCACCTAGGAGGATTACTAAGTATCCGTATAAAGAGAAATATATATATAACTATCCTGCGGGTGTTGGGTTGCTTGGCAAGAACCGGGTATAACCTACCTCTTATAAAAATTGAAGTTTTATAAAAATCAAATTTTGATTCTTGTTTATATCTCCTAATCTACCTTTCTATATAATTAGAAGAGAGGGAAGACTTCTATATAGCTTCATATATAGCTTAGGCGGTAATTTGAATACCCCAAAAAACTAGGGAAAAATGTATTAATTATGTAGCTACGATAAATTGGCATGTTTATATTGTTTGGTTCATAATGGGCCCCCATCATACCCCATTATTTCTATGCTCCGGGCCCAGAAACCACCGATGGACCGAGGCATAGGCCCAAAAACCAGACCATTTGGTGGGTTGGGTTGGTCTGGGCTATGGGGTCTGTGGGCTATCCCGAGGTCTAACCAAGTGGTTTTGGAGGCTCGGAATCACTTGGGCGGATTGGCGGGGAGATGAAGGAGGAAGAAGCCAGGAAGTCGACCGTGGCTTTATGTAGTACCGACCTGTCTATGGGCCAATCGCTTGGATAAGGGTCTTCCGACTTTGGTAGTGTCGGGCAATCGTATTGAGTGGTGAGGAAATCGATTCTTGGCTTGGTCTCGGAGTCGAATTTATCTGCCCACGGTAGGGCAACGCGAATGTAGCTATTTAACTGGTTCGCCAAGCGTACTGCAGTTTGAAGCTTTCGGTCCATCCGTTTGAGATGGATGATGAAACTTGGTAGATGAAATGGGTTTGGAACTTGGCCTCTCGGAGGACTGGCCTCGAGGGTGTCCCAGTTGGCTTTGCAAGTTGAGTTTTGATGAAATTTAGCTTTATGAAATTTTTTTCTCAGGGAACACTCTGAGGTGATCTCAGGACATGCTACCAAACTTGGTACAGATTTGATGTGATGAGTAGAGATGTTCAATTAGCTATGTAGTCAAGCTAGGGGCTCTCTTCACGTGACTAGTCACGTGATGGTAACAGGTATTATGGATATACAGGCCTATGCACGTGACCTCTGACGCAGATCACGAGGGCCCACAACTCCATAGCTCCACAACGTACCTTCGCCCTCACTCGGCAAGCCAATCAGCATCGACACACGACTCTTACAACTTGAACTCCACCATCGTCATGCCCGGATTAATAAGGCCTCATATACAACAGCTTAGCTCGCCTATTTCCAAGAAGCAACGTGTATCTGCCAAGGAATCCTCCATCTTCCCATACCCCGCCGTCCCAAGCGAGTGCATCGACCATCATGAAGATCTTATACCCGATGCGATCGAAATGTTTCGGGAAATGGTTGAGATACCAAGTAAGAATCTCACGTCTCCAATGCACACTAGGTTGATGATATCCTAATTCACTCTTAGAAACAAACTCATCTGAGTGGGGGAATAAGGAAGCCGCAGCCGCGCGTGCCCTTCTCGAACCGAACGTGACCAATGCGAATCAGCAGCTAATTCGAACCCACCACCCTTCTCTCAGCCACCTCCATCTTGTCTGGATGGTACAAGAGTCCAAAGACAAGTGGATATGGGTGATAGCGCCAGATTCGGTTCCCAATACAGCCATAGGTACTCACGCAGGGGGCTGGAAATCCATGTTCAACCCTGGGGACATGTGGAGCGGACAACCGTTGTGTGGCCCAAACTCCAGCCAGACCCTCTCAATAACATCTTAAACCCCCGCAAATTCCTTTCTCAAGATGATCTACACCTATTACGGGAGATGTTTCCGTGTGCGCTCGGCATTAGGGTGTTTATAAGTGGTTTCATCGTGATTCTCTTCAAGAGCCGCTCTGATATCGAATATTCCTGGCTACATGATGGATTTTCAGATAGCTTCGGTTGCTTACGCCTACGGTACGATATCCTCCAAGATGAACCGACTCGGAATGTTATTCCTCGAGGTGCGGCAATTACTACCAGACCCGACTGTATCGATGGATACGCCGCGTTAGGTTTGAAGCTTCGTTTCCCAAGTGGGCAAGAGGCGATTACGGTCCCCACGCACGCATTTGTCACTCTCCGATCGATGCTTCCAATGCCCCTACTTTGTGTGAGTGATTGGTATCAGAAGATCAAGACGAAAATGGCTCTGTATCTCCCCATCAGAAGGAACTCATCTATACCAGCTGTTGGGACGGCTCGGCACCAAGCAGCGGGTAATTCACCCTTGGGGAAAAACGTATTCCTTGTCGGGGAATCGCAACATGTACGTGTGCTAAAGGAACCTTGCCTCCTCTCATTTATGATCCAAGTTACTAACGCAGTACCTACGAGCGGTAGATCGGTACAATCTCATTCACGTACGACCCAGTCAGCCTAAGGCCTCTTCGATTCCCAATGGGCTTTACCCACGATTTATCATTGATCACCAACGACCGAGGGCTTCCACAAATGGTAACACCTAACCACACACCACAGGTGTCCGGCTGGGGTGCCTATAAGGATGTCTTAGATGGCAATCCTGTCTTTGTGACGGGTTTCAATGTTTCAACAGGGAACCAAATCCGTAGGATAGGAACGGGAATATCAAGACGTGCGCACCAAGCTATTGTCGAGGGATCCCAATATTTCTGGGACAAAGAATTGCTATCACAAAGTGTCTCTATCCTATGGAGGACGCAGAATGACCAAGACTCCCTACAAGGCCTCTCCGGTACTGCTTTATGCCTTGGTCTGGTTTCAGATAAGACATGCCTTGCTGTTTGTTTCCAGAACTTTGAGTCGCCATTACGCTCCCAAGCTTCCCTCAACGAAGATCATCGTGGTACACCGAGTCACGAATATCCTGGGATTCGTATCAAAGGTGGGTTTCTTTTACCACCAGAGATGAGAGAATGCCAAATTCTCTGTGATGCGCCAGAAACACCTGCTGGCTCTGCCACGTACCCTAGCAGAGAGAGAGCTACCGCGGGCTTAAGAAGGTCATTTTCTTCCCATCGTTAATTGCGCACGGTTTCACCCCCTGGCTGTTTTTATCTTCTAAACTTTCTGTGGCTAGTGCAGTAGCGTTTTCGTCGTCTGGAAAGGGGAATTCGGCCTTGAAGCCATAATAGTGGCGTCCATTTTCGTATGTGTGGTGATTGCGTGCAGTCAGCCAGTTCGATTCCATTTTTCTTTTCCGTTAGCTACTTTAGCTACCTTTCCCTGCTTGATGAGTGGAGATCCGGTTCAGGAGATGAAAGAGGAAGAAAAGGCGTAATGCCCCTGGGATTCCTTCTCCCGAGGAGCGCTGAGTCTTAATATGGCTAGCTCCGACTAATTGTCTCAAGCCTGATATCCCCTGGCAACGATCAATGTATATGCTTAACTAACTAGTTATCTGCTGTCAGTGCTCTCACTTCTTGACGCGGTTAGTGACTCTCGTTCGACATGCTCTACACCTGTCAATTTGTAGCAGCTTTATGGTTCCATGCTCGTGGCGGAGTATCATATTTCATAGTAGTAGTAACTTAGTTTTTAGGGCTTTAAAGCTCGACCAGAAAAGAAAAGTGAAAAGGCACTAAGCAGGATTGACCACTAGATCAATGCTAAAAGATACCCTAAGGATATTATGCATACCACGATAGGTGTCTATAGAAGTACTCTGGTTTTTCATTTGACAAGATATGGTAAAGAATTTTGTTCCAAGAGTAACGTGCTCTAGTGCCAATCCATTGTAATCTGGATTATCAGATAACCATATAACATGCATCAAAAGCCACCAGAAGAGCAGCAAGGACAAATAGAAACTAACGCGAGTGTGGCTGACTGTAGACCGAAAAAAAAAGGAGAACGATGATTTGTTTGTGTTCAAGCTACTGTACCAAGGAAATGATTTTGTTTATAGACTAGCTTAAATGTTCTACAGCTTGTGATTGGCCAATTTTGCTTGTTCCAAGGTTGTATGTGGGTCCTCTCTATACGCGTATCCGCAATCCGATCTATAGAAAGACCTAAAAATTGAAAAAAAGATTCTTCTATCTTGAGAATGTCCGAAAATCTCGACTTATAAAGGCTCTAAATCCTTTAGACTAGGTCTCACAACACCTTCTTTCTTCGCGCGTCCCTACAATCCCCAAACATGTCTGAACTCGTGTCTCGTTCCTATAAATTTTGGAACTATGCACCTTCGATACCAGCAGCTGTCATTTTCATGCTGATATTCATGGTCCTAACGGGCCTTCATTCTTGGAAAATGTTCAGAGCCAGAACATGGTTTTGTATAGCATTTACTTTAGGCGGCTTTTGTATGTCGACTCCCTTCCCTTGCAATCTTATCCTTCCATGTCCCGAAGACCAGACGCTGACCTGCATTGCAATCAAGTCCAGATCATCGGCTACATCGGCCGCTGCATTGCACACAATAATACAGTTGCAATGGGACCGTACATTGTCGCCAACATGTTCATTCTGCTCAGTCCTACACTCTTCGCCGCAACTATCTACATGACCCTTGGTCGAGTCATCCGTCGAGTCCGAGGAGAACATCTTTCTCCCATTCGGGTCTCGCGCCTTACGAAAACATTCGTCTGGTTCGATGTGTTGTCCTTCGTTGTCCAGGGAAACTCCTCATCCCTCTCGGTTATGGGATACCCCCAGTGGGGAAAGGTGTGCGTTATTGCCGGTTTGGCAATTCAACTCATTTCCTTTTCCCTCTTTTGGGGTAACAGCCATAGTATTCGCAAAGCGCCTTCGTCGTACACCCACGCCCGAGTGTCTCAAGCCTGGTATCCCCTGGCAACGATTAATGCATATGCTATATGCTGTCAGTGCTCTCATTTTGGTCCGCTCTATTTTCCGGATCATTGAATATGTCATGGATAATGATGGTTATCCTCTTATGCACGAGTGGACATTGTATGTGTTTGATAGTTTGCCGATGGTTGCAGTCATGGTTATCTTCTTTGTTTGGTATCCTGACCAGGTGAGCCTCGATACGGATTTCGATGGAAATATCCCGCTTGCACACAGCTACTCTGGAGTTTGAATTTATTGTGCTTGAATCGAGGCTCGATATACAGTTGTTTACTTTGACTTTTGGTGTTCTTTTGTTTATATACAGTTTCTCTTATAGAACAATTGCATTTCTTTCTACATTTAGGGACATGCTTTAAATATTCATAATAATCAAACATATTTACTCCAATAGATATCATAGATAACACCCAACATCTCCACACTCCTTAATTTAGAGTCATCCAATTTAGGGACGCGGCCTGTAAGGGGAAGTGGCAAAAGGATGTCCTTCCTAACTACCTATGCAGTGGCTATTAGACTAGCTAAAGCGGTGAGATAGGTCATATGACCTTGCCCCGTAACAATGCCCGCTGAAAAAAATAAGGCGACGTCCTCGTCGACCATGGCGCATAGGCCATCAAAGATTAAAACAATGCTAAAAATAGAAGGGAAAACTGCCGTCTACCACGTCGTGCCTATTTCAAAGAAGACTAAGTACCCTTAAATTTATCGTCGCCGGCTAATCTAGTGGCCTCGAACACCGGTCGTAAGGCACGCTTATACTATTCTAGACGCGATTGCAAACGACGCGCGATATCGTCTACTAATACCACGTATCCGTCTTACGCGACTTCTAGCTTATTTCGTAGCTATAAGATCCGACGCGCTTCGGGAGTATTAAGACTTCTACGTATATAATCGATATCGTATACCCTTTTTACAACTTCGTTAATACTATCGTAATCTATAGATAGATCGTCGTCGAAGTCGCCGAATATTTCGCGAATGTTCTTAGTTGCCTATAACCTTAGCTCGCTCTTAGCTTCCTATATATATTCCGGCTTATTACTTCTCGCCGACTCGGAATCTATATTAGTAAAGATATACGATATAGGGTATCTATTTTCCGCGTTATTCTACGCCGCCGCTACGTTAGTCTAGCTAATAAGGTCTAGTATACCGGCTAGATCCGGGTCCCTTAGGTAATAATTAATCGTAGTAGGAATATACGTAACGGCGGCCTCGTTTCTAAAAGAGATACTTATAATATAAGCGTAAGGCGCTTCCTTAAAACTTTCCTAATCGATAAGTTATACGTCGGCGGAACGCTACGCTATACGCGATACGTCCGGCCTTATAAATAGATAGAACCTAATAATATTTACTAGGCGCGTTAGGGTAAGGGTAAGATTATTATACGTTAGAAGTAGGTTATTCGTAATATAACGTACGCTCGGTCTTAATTAAAATTTCGACTAGTCGTAAGTTTCGGCTTTAATTATTAGATTATTCGGTCTCGGTAATAGTAATTTATCCGGAGATATAACTATTTCGCCGAAGTAAAATCCTTTATACTTTAGGATACTATATATAAGCTTCTTAGTAAGTAGCTAGATATATTTCTATAGCTAAGATCCGATAAGCGCGTAATAATCGGAAAATACCGTAATAAATAGCAACCTAAACGCCTATACGATAATAGGGTCGCTAATCGGCTAGTAATATAGGTTAATATCCCTATTTAAATCGAAGTCTATAGGCTATCTACTATATCGATTATATTTAGCGACTATATTATATCCGATAATAAGGAATACTAGCGTATCGGATAGTTGTTTCTCGGTAGGTAGCGTAATTAATCTACCGTTAGTAGTAAACCTTACTTCGTCGTAGTATAGTAGCTTAGCCTAACGTTACCGGCGATTAAGAGTCTACTAAGCGTTCCTATTTATCGTTATAATATAGTTAGCCTTATTATAGATAGCGTCTATATCTTCGTAAAAGCCTCGATGTAGTCTTAAGACCCTAATCGATACCGGCTTCTTTAGTATAATAAGAATAGCCGAAGGAAGTATATCTTAAAGAGGAAGGTATATTAAGAGAAGCGTATTAAAAAAGAATTATCGAAGGTATAACGAGATAAGATATAGGCGTAATAGAATAGGTAAATTTAAAGTATAACGAATCCGAAATAAAGCCTAGTAGGGCCTAAAGTAAAGGCTTAAAAGCAAAGTAAAGAAAAGTAAAAGATTAAAAATAATATAAAATCTTAATAACTTCTTAAAACTACTACTGTTGTATAGTACGACTTATCGTAATCTTATTATTTTTAGTTATTCGCTTACTATTTACTCTCGTATCTCTTAACGAGATAAGGAGTATATAATTACGTATTAACGGCCGAACGCTAGATATCCTATACCGGCCTAAGATTCTTTCGACGAAGTAGATAGTACCGTCGCTTCGCGCGCCCCTAGATTCTCGATCCTATAATCTTCTCTATAATTTACTAATCTCCGCTATCCGCGGAGTCCGTTAGAGGTAAGATACCTAAACTAAATAGCCGATTATATAGGTCCTCGGTCGATAGGTATAGCTCTAGATACTCGACCGATATAATAGGGTATATTATTTATAATAGTAGTAAGGCTAGTTCGTACGTATTCGTTAAGACCTTAGTAATCTTAAACGGTCCGGTCCTCTAATCGCTAAATTTATAATACGTTTTACTAGAGACGTTATACCCCTTATATAGTCTAACGTATATTAGATCTCCTATCTTTAAGTCTAGTAGAATATAGCGGCCGTCGTATCGGGTCTTTATAACGTATTATACGTAACGAATAGCGTCCGTCGCGTCTAGACGATTAATAATACGGTCCTCTATAAGATTATCGATATTATTCGGACTCGGAGCGTTCGGCTAAAACCCGAATACGATCTCGTCTAGGGTCTTTCCCGTCGACGTATTAAGGGAACTATTATATATACTAATAATCGCGGGAACTATATCTTCCTAGTTATTATATCGACTATCGTCGGTAACGAACCTTATTACGATCTTAACTATCTAGTTCGTACGTTTACTTTATCTATCGCTCTATAGATACTACGCCGTCGTTATCTATAGACGGGTATTAAGACGTTTAAAAATAGCCTACTATAAATCCGCGATAAATTTCCGATCCTAGTCTAAAATTATCTATATTAGGATACCCTATCCGGTCGTTATAAGAAAGTTTAGTAGCTATACTACCTATATCTCCGTACTATCCGTATCCTTACCTAGTAGAATACCTAGCCTCTTAGATAGTTAATATATTACCGATATATATATATTATTACTATTAGCCGATATAGGTAGTATAACGATAAAGTCGATATAAATATATTAGAACGGTATCGTTGCTATCTCTATCGGATTTAGCAAACCCTAAGGCTTATACCTTAACGTTTAGTACGTTAAGTACTTCGGGTAATACGAAATATAACTACGTAACTTTTTTACTAGATTCTTAACGTAGTATTAACGCCTTATCTAATAGTACGTACGGTAAAACCCGAGATATTATAAATCGTTATAATTTTCCTAAAATACGTCTAATTCCTTTATAATAGGAATATATAGCCGTTTAGCCTTTTCTATATCGACGAAAAATAAGAGATCGTCCCTCCTCCGGAAATAGAATATATTAGCCTTATCGGAATTAATACTATCTAGTTATTTCTAAATACGCGCGAATATTAGGTCTACTAGATATCCTTTCCGAATAGCTTCGGTATACGTTCCGTCGATATAGATTATTATAGCGATAAACGTATAAGTATCGAAATCGATAATCCTATCGAGTTTATCGTCGTCGCCGTACTAGGTATCGTTATATAGCAACCGAGAAAGGCTATTAGCGATAATATTTGATTTCCTAGGATAGTAATAGATTTCGAGGTTAAACTAGCTTAAGTATTATAACGCCCGAATTAACTATTTATTTAGCTTATTAACAGAGGACGACCTAAGATTAGTATACCGCGCTATTTCGTAAGTAGCTAAATAATCTATATAAATAACGACTAGAAAATAATAGTCTTCGATTAAATAATACGTCTTCCGTACCGTCTAAACTAAATATACGACCTCGAGCTCTATAGGCTAGTAATTTTTCTTAGCTAATAATAATAACCTACTAAGGAATAAGATCGGCTTAACGGCTATTCGTAGGGGCGGCGCCGACGCCGTCTATTTCTTATCCTATTATAGATAGTACGCTATTACTACGAACCTATCTAAAGACGTATTTAGATTATAGTATATATATCTAGTCGTATCGTAATAGGTATAGATACTCCCGGAATAGATAATCTCTTTTAAATCTAGGAATATCTTTATCTTAACTTCGGATAAGTTAAACGTCGTCTTCGCCGAAAAAGACCTTCGCTTTTACTCTTAAATAGACGTATCCTTTAATAGGCGCGTCTTCTTATCCGTTAATAAAGCGGCGATCTACGCGTATCTACTAATCTTATTACGTAGATAACCGGTCGCGCCTAGAAAATACTCTAAATACGTTAGGTTTATTAGCGCCTTAATTTACCGAATCGTATCGATCCTATCTTATAGGGTCGCTAACCTAAAGCTATCTATATACTACCCTAATAGTCTAACGTTAGGAAATCCTAAAAATAATTTCTTAGGATTTAAGGTTACTGTATTAACGCGTAACGTTATAAATAACTAATATAAGTAATAGAGATATTTAGCGAAGGTATACGACCGCGTAATAATATTATCGACGTATATCCTAACGAATTCTAAGTATCTTAGGATCCGTTCCGCCTAGCGTTATACGTATATAGGACTATTATAGAAGCCTATTAGGGCTACGGTAAAAAATTCCTACCTACGATACGAATTAACCGCTAACTTATACTAATTATCCGGATAGACTACCTATTAGTAGAAAAACTAAGTAGCGTCGATAACCGTTAAATACTTTATACCCGTAACGAATTTTAAGATATCCTCTTACCTTAGTAGTAGATATAAGTCCTTAATTACCTCTTAATTTAATCCTCGTAAGTCGACTACTACGCGCTCTTTTTGCTTACCGTCGACGAACCGCTAAATAACGAATATAGGAAATCTAAATAGTATCGGTTTATCGGACTATACTATACGCTATTTCTTATAGAGCCTATTAAATACTCTATTAACTACCGCCTTATCTCTATCGCTAAGCGGATAGACCTTTATCTATCTTTTGCCCTTATAGGCGCCTAGTTTTAGTAGTATATAAAGTAGCTAGTCTTCCGTTATTAAAGCCCTTCTGTACTCCCTAGAGAAGACGTTAGCGAATTCGTCTAATAACGTATCGATTGTAACCTTCTCCTCCGGCGTACGATAGAATACTATAATCCCGTTCGATATTACGAACTTATTTAGTTTCTTAATTACTCCGGATACCCTAGGGCCTATAATCGTCTACCTTTCTTCGGATTCTATAACTAAATCCTAACCGGTTATACTCTAGGCAATCGCTACCTTATATATATTAGAGTGAACCCGAAACGCTTAAATATACTTATATAGTTCAATATAACCGATATATATATATCGCGGTAATATATATTCGCGGTCCGAATCATTTCTAACTAGAATTATACTAAAGACACTATTAACTAAGTAGGAGTAAAACCTACCTATATCGCGAAGCCTTTCCGTCGCTATATTATATTCCGGAACGAATAAATAGTCGCTATTTCAAAGCGCCTCTTTTATCCTAACTTCGACTAGCTTTACTATATATAGGGGTATTACTACCTACTTTATTATATATACTCTTTACCGACTCGGTAGGTTAGTTACGATAACTCTAACCGGAACCTTTATATCCTTATAAGAGTAGAAGATTAGGACCGATAGCTATATATCGAAGATAATACGCTCTATAACGATAATATCTATATCTAATAGGAGTCTAGGCCTAAGGTTATCGATAATATATATCTCCCTTTTAAAGTATATTATAATGTTTTTTTTATTGCGGCTATCTATAATATAGATGTTAACTATAATATATTCGGCTATTAGAAAACGCTAGGAACCGATTCCTTTTATCTTAATCGGAGTATCTAGTCTTTTAATATCCGGTTCCTAAATCTTATTTATAACTATAAACCTATCGATTAATATTATAGAATAGCTAGTATCGTATATAATATCGATTAACGGGCAGTTAAGATTTAACTTAGCCTATAGAACCGTATAGCTCTATAAGCGATAGTCCCGTCCTATATCTATCGCCGGCTCGGTAGCTAATTAAATAATCTCGACGGAACCGATATATACCTCGTCGCTATCCTCTTATAATAAGACCTCTTCCTCTATATCGTCGTCCTCCGATTCGCCGTTCGTTATATAATAGTACTTATAATCTAACTCTAACGACCGATCGTCCTTGCTATTATCGTCCGTTAAAAAATTATCCGGGGCTATAAGTCTCGCCTTCTCCGTCCTTATACGTCGAGATAGATCTAGTCGTAGGCTAGCGCGATTATTTCGCGCTTCGCGATAGCGCGTCTTATCCCGTAATTTAACCGGTCTATCCCCGTTCGCTTTAGACTTAGACTCCTTTACGTCCCGCTATAGCGAGCGGTACCGCCTAGGCTTATTTTTACGCTAACTTCTAGACGAGCCTCTGTTCGACTATAACTCTCTATAATAAGCGAACTATTACGACTTAACGTTATTAATATAACGTATAAACGACGTTATTGTCGTCTTCTTATCTAGCCTTATAAGCTATATCTATAGGGGAGTCGCTATTTTATTAAACGCCGATATCGCTTATATCTCTACTATAGGGGCCGCCCTAGAATTACTACCTAGAATAACGACTTTCTAAAGGAACTTATTAGGATTACGTCTCGTATATACGTTATAAAGCGTATACTCTAAGGCGTAGAACTCCCTTAATATATCGCCTATAAGGACGCGGAATCTTTTACTAAGGCTATCGTACTAGTCCTTTATATTCGTAGTTATACGAAGCTTCTTTCGTTCGGCCGCGTCTATTTCGTTCTCGTACTATAACGCCGCTATATCTAGAAGGTACTAATAAAATACTTTTACTATCGATCTAGGTCGGTAAGTCGGCTCCGCGACCCTAGCTACGTTAATAAAACTAGTTATATTATAATATACTCTCTGCCTATCTAGAACTTCGGAAAATAGTAGCGCTATATCTAGATCGAAATAGCCTAGGTCTTTTATATAAAATCTCTCTAGCGATTCCGACGACTCCGACTAGGATCTTTAAGTCTTCGAACTTCTTCTCTAGCGATCCTTAGATCTATAGTCCCGCGATTTATAGTCGCGATCGTTATAATTACTATCGCCGGAAGAGCCTAGATTACCGTTATTCGGTATATAAGTACGCTACCTATTTATATCTCTCGGCGAGATATTATACGATCGTCCGCCTATATATCTAGATCGCCGCGAACTAGCCGTTAATTACCGGCTTAATTAATTAATAATCCTCTATATAGACTATAGCTAATCCCTTAGTATCGCTAATTCGTCTATAGGATACTATTATAGATATTATATATACTAAGATAGATATATTGGGTATAGCGTAGGAAAACCCTATAGCGGTAACGGCGGCTAAAAGCGTATCGTCGGCGACCCTTAAAGATACGGGTATATAAATTCCGGTAAATATAGTATTATAACCGGAGGCGTTATAGCGGATATAGTCGCCTCTAGGGCCGACCGCTATAATAACTCGGGTAATATAACTCTTAGTATATTCGTTTCCGTTAGCTGCCCTACCGCCTAACGCGGGGCCGTAATAGCCGGAACGTTAATACTAGTAGATACGCTCGATACGGGCGGTATCTCGTCTTCCTTAGTCTAGAGGTACGAAAAAGAACGTAAACGAGACCTATATCTAGTTGAAACTAGCCTATCGGTAAACCTAATAGGTAACCTTAGTAGTACTATCGGGGACGGATTTAATAGTATAGCTAGAACGTTAACCTCGCTATAAACTAGGTCCGCAACGGGTATATTAATACGTATAGCCGGAGTGTCGACCTCGCTACTAACCTCCGAACGCCGCGCCTTATCTTCGGCGTAGAACTATTTTAATAGCCGACGGACTACTAGCGGATTAACTACCTAATTAGGTAGGTAGCGTTAGTCGGTAACCCTCGTCGACCTTATAACGCGTTAATTCTAACTAGCGTGGCCGACGGTCGTAGAAAATTGCTCTAATAACAACGACGCCTCCGCCGAAACGCGAAAATTAGGATAGTCTTTGTAATAGTTGGCCAATTGCCTACCGCGGACGTACTAGCTATCAGTAGATAATAACTGCGTCTACGGCATTTATTGTCCGCGTTACGTAATCCGAACGTCGAGAAACACTAAAGAGCGTCGACGACGACGCACCGTGACGTCGCCGCCGATGATCGGTTTTAGAGAAAAGAAAAAAGATAATAACCTCGGGGAAGAGCTTTAAAGATAAAAAAAACAATGTTATCCTTCTTTTCCCTATAATAGACGTGTTTGGACGTGCTACCATTTGTAAGGGGAAGTGGCAAAAGGATGTCCTTCCTAACTACCTATGCAGTGGCTATTAGACTAGCTAAAGCGGTGAGACAGGTCATATGACCTTGCCCCGTAACACGGCCCCATTGATGGATGCCCCCACTTCAGCCTCGGGTTCGAATACGCGTATAGCTTTTGCCTCTCAACGGAGTGGAGTTTTATTATGTAGAGTTCATATCCACTAGTATAAATATCTCCGCCTTGATACGCAAAAATAAACACGGACAAGCTAGTGGAACGAAGGCAGCACTACAATGGAATTCGGTATTTGGAATGAATATCCCGGATCTATCCAAATTCCATGACGCTGGAGGCAAGATACCATGGCCTGGTTCGTATGAGCACAGGAATCTGTCATACGTCTTCCCATATTCTGGTGAGTATTTCACTGGAAGACTTGTAGGCGCATTATCAGACTCAACCCAAGCAACAAGGCTGTCGAACATAGTAGAAGGATGCCCAAGCAGTGTCCCATCATTGGTGCTTCGAACAACCTATAGTAATCATGAACAAAATATGAAACCCACAACGAATGAAGTACAAATGTACTGGGGATGTAACGTCTGCCGATGCATTTTATCGTGCGTAATGATTTGTTTCTGTTTATTTTTTTGGTTGATACTATCTATGGGCCTTGTTATGAGGAGTCAGGCTGGCGGCTACATAAGTAGCCCTCTATTTGTAGAATATGCAACCCTTTCTTTCTTTTTTTCTTTCTCTTCTAGCTCCTAGTAGTTACACCAAGAAAGATGAAGTCGGCAATTTCAGTGGACCACTATCTACATTGTTGGTGAGTTTCGATGCCTAAGTTAAGAACAACCGTTAATCGAGTCGTGCATTTTGCAGGAAAGATATGTACAACTCTATATAGACCGATATGACAGAAAGGCACTGCCAAAAAGGAAGAAAAAGACCAAAATATACAAGAAAAGCCAGCCGAAAAGCAAACCGAACAGGAAAATGAAGGACTATACAGCAGTATAACCCTACACAAAAGATGGCAGTGACCATCACAACAAATACGCTCATACGCCAAAAAGACACCAACTTATATATATCATGTATACCAGTCTACCAAGAGAAACTCTCTTCCACATAATCAACGCTGGACTGGGACTGTCTCTTGCGACAAACACGGCGAACGTCATCACTCAGACCGCCATTGCCACAGACAAGCACACCCATGGCGCCAACTTGATTCTCGACCTCCATGCCGACCAGCGTATCAATATTGGGACGACCAGGGAACATCTGTACAGTCGCAGAGGGACTCTGGATCTCCTTGGTGTTGCGCGGCCGCGTAACAAAGAGCATGATGCGCAGGACTTCACGGCGGCGATCCATCGCCAAGATACTGGTCATCCAGGGCCGGATCCACTCCAGGTGTTCGGGCGACTGGATGATCCAGACGAGTGTGACGCGGCGGGCAGCGACAGTGCCGTTCGCGAACCCAGCAACCAGGTGGCGCACAAAGGGAACGTGGTGGGTGATACCGACTCCGCCGGCGAAGAGCATCACAGTACCGTATGAGTCCATGGTGTGGATGTTACCATATGGGCCCTCGGCAAAGGCGCGGAGGGTAATCTGTGAGGTCGGGGAGTTTGCAGCACGCTGGAAGAGCTTGTCGGTCATTCCGGTGCGGCGGCGAACGAGAAGAGAGATGGTTTCTTTTTGGGGTGCGCTGAGGATGTCTTTGCTTGTGAGTGGGAGTGATTTCTCGTCGGTATTGCTGTCTTCAGCTTCGCTCCAGCCAACGGAGAATGGGTGCGAGGTCCACAAGCCCACTGATGGGATGTAAAGGTAGATGTGCTGGCCCGGGCGGAAGGTCCAGGGGCGGGCTATGCGCAGGGTAATGCGCATTGCGTCGCCGTGCATGGCCTCGATGGTTGCGGTTGTGGATTCACGGCCGCAGTTGCGGTACACAATGATTAAGAAGCGGGTAGCTCGCTCGAGGGCCCAGAGGATGATGGATGCAAGCAGATAGGTTTGCGCTGGTAGGTTGTTGAGATGAACCCAAAGGAAGCCCATGGAAAGGGCTGCAATGACAATGTGCAAGTGGAGGAATGTCTCATAGAATGCATGGCGAATAGGCGAGGGCGAGTGCAGCAAGAGCGCAGTGAATGCACAAGCGGCTACCAAGCCGGTCAGCAAAAAGTTGCTACTACTCAGAGCCATTCCGACAACACTCCAGCCTTTCTCGTTGGCTTTGGGGATAGCCCATGCAAACACATGCGCAAGACTCTCCAGCACCACGATGCGGCCGAGCCATCGGTGGAGCAGATTCCATGTATCGAAAGGCACATGGAGCATAGCAATGAGGGGGTTGCTACGGCCGGCCATCAAGATCAATGGGATCAAGTTCACCGTTGCCATAACTCCAGTGCGGTTACGGATCACACCAGCAAGGGTGTCTGACTCGGATCCATAAGGGGTTGTCACACAGCAGAGCGTGACGTTCATGGCGATAACGCCGGTGACAAGGAAGGCGTGGAAGCGGCTAGGCAAAGTACCCATGTTAAGAGCCGATGAGAGCTGGAGTTCACGGTTGTGTCGGTTGCGGAACAACGCAGCGTATATGATATGGTCCTTGATCCAGGCAAAGGTGTTGTGTGTAGAGACGAAGTACCGTTGTCGGTCATCGGTGAAGCTTGCCAGGCGTCGAAGATGGCGAGAGAAGCGGAAGGCGAGCTGCCAGATGTAATAAGCGGCGGCAGCACATCCAAGGGCGAGGAGTGAATAGCGTGCCAGATCATCATTGACGGCTTCGTAGTAGGGAGAGTAGCCACCAGATCGTTTTTCGATGTATTCAATATCCATTGCGCTGGTCAGACCGGCGAGGGACATCGCCAGAAGAAAGGAGTGCATGACGACCAACCAAAGATACCGCAAGTCAAGTGCTTTAGGATTGAACTTGATGTGTTATTTAGCGAGGCCAGCTCGCTGGAAAAGAGTGGATTGGAAAGGGGGACGTTGATATCTGTCCGACCCCAGGAAAGCTCGGAAGATATTGTCGAGTAGAACAGCAAACAGAACAACCCCAGGTTGCTTGGTCAAATGAAAGAAGCAAGGATTGAAGGGATTCAGGCGCTTAGGGGTTTTCCGCTGGGTGGCTGGTGTCAAGTAAAGGACCTGCCTATATCTAATGTATAGAATTCAGAGCGAAAGCATGGGATAAAAGCCGTATATCAATATATTTCAGTCCAATTGGGCTCTGTGAGAAGCAATAATGTTCACAAAACAGCGGGCGATGTTTGTTAAAGGCTGTTGTCGACGGGCAACGAAAGGAATGCTAGTGATCCAGTCACTGCCAAGAAGAAAAATGGGTTAATGATGGGAATTTGTCGGAAACAATGAAGATTGTCTCGAAAACAAAGGCAAGATAAATGAGACAATGTTGATTGTTGTTTAAAAAAAGGAAAGAATAACAATGAAAGATCGAAAATAGATAGAAAGAAAGGACTGTTTCCCCTTGTGTTCAGTCCAGTGAAGAAAAGAAGAAGACAAGAGTCAGGACCAACCGAACCAATATGTAGAAGTCAACCAAGACTCTCCACCTCTAGCGCGGCCCATATCATGTGGAATTCGCTTTTCCATTTTGATTTCCGGGTCTTTTTCTTCAATTTTTCTCGAAAGAGGGGGTTTGGCGCTGGGGCCACAGATCGGTTCAAGGGGATTTCTCATGTGCGTATGGAGTATAAAGGTAGACGATCCTGCAGATCCAGTGCAGCGAATCGGGGGCTCATATTTACAGATAGCCTCTGTCAAGTTTAGTGGAATATGGACCTAGAACATACGACAAGTCAAGCCCGAGTTGTCATAACGTAGTGGGAATATCGATCAAGGGTTGTGACTGGCCCAGCACTGAACAACAGTGAAACAGTCAGTGGACAGGCAGAGTTTGACAAGGATCAACAACCACACAGGCCGACATAGATCCGGCGGCAATGCTTGGCCTACGACTGGCTTGTTTGAGAAAGGGGCTTTTTCTTCATCGATAGGCCAATGTGAAGTCGGAAGTGGGGAAAAGGAGGGTATGTGGAGGTCACGTTTTCATATTCGACTGGTCTCCTTTAGCGCCTAGTTCAACTCAGAACACAAAAATGAACGGAGTAACCCACATTAGGGGCCCGTGAAACAGTCCGGGCATGGGCTATTGCTCTCCTCCATATGTTGTACTCCGTAGTCATCACTGTAAAAAGTTAGCTCTCCGTCTTCAGGGGGGGATGGTTTCTTGGCACTTCATTTATATCAGACTCTAATCTCCTCTCACAGAGAATTCCCCCGAGAAACTCTGCCTTGGCCAAACGCTCTTTGATGAACTTGGAATAATTATTCTTACCTTGGTCCTATATACTCCGTAGTAGTTTGGCAAACTGAAATGAGAACATATGTATGTACAGAGTATTCCGTGTGATCCAATGTCTTATATCCTAATTGCGTGCTGTGAGTCTATATCATCCAAGGCCATTCCATGTTGGCGCCGGAGTTGCGTCGGTGTACAATCCAATCTGTTTTATCTTACGTGCCAGATAAAGTGCGCATATGACTTGTCTCAAATCAATCTCCAATTTTGGGGTCTTTCCATTGGCATCGCGAGGTCCAAAGGCTAGTCCAAAGTTGAGAAAACAAATAAAAACGATTATAGAGATCCTGAACAATCGTCTCAACAACAAAAATAACACCAATCCAAGGCCATGGGTATCAAATCAAAAAATCCTAAACACCGATTTCCCAAAAAAAAAGCGGACCGCTCATTCATATCCACCGTTCCCTCCAAAAGAATCAAGATATTGTACGGAGTAAACAGTCGGTCAAGCTAGGCCATGTAGCCAGCCAAGACCTTCCTCTGCAATGTAAGATGTGATAGGCATCCAAGTACCATAGACGAACCAGGAGACTATGGGGAATACCCGACACTCTGCCGGCGCAGGTGAACTGTCACCGGTCTCACGTAGGACCAGCCAAGAAAGCCCGGGCCCCGCTCAGAAAAAGCTGAGCTCATCGTCACTATCGCTATCCTGATAGCATGGAATAGCCGTTTGTCGAGGTATTGGCGGCTCAACAATATGACGCATGGTTGAAACCGAAGGGCGCGTAGACCTTCGCCTCTCTACTGTGCGATGGACCTGCTTTACCGCACGCTCCAAAGTCGGCCGAACAATAGGCTGGCATGGGCTGCTTTCTTTGTGATTGATGATCACAACTTCAACCTTCTGTTTCTGTTGTGTTGCGGAGGTCGTCCGTCTAGTCAGATTGGTGCTGCGCTCTCGCAAGATGCCTCGGCGAGTGACTGGCTCCACATTAGAATTGGATTTAGTCGGAGTAGGAGAGCGTATTTCGGGATTGTTCCCACCCCTGTCAACTACAATCACAGGGGTGGGTCGTTGGCGTTTTCTAGGTCGTATGGATGAAACTTCGCTGTCCTCGAAAGTTCGCTTGGTCGCCATCAGCGGAGGCGATGAAGTCAAACTTGAGGCAGTGTCTCGGAAGTCATCAGGCCCAGGTGAGCTGCTGTCTGTGTCTGTAGAGGAAGAGATGCAGGGCACTGGGCTGGATAGCATGCGCATGGGTCTTCGGGCCTTTTGCACTAGGATGGGCTTTCCTTTTGTCGGCGGCGTAGATGCCACCCACTCGCCTATGCTATCTTCCCACCGAAACAGGCCCGCACTCCGGCTAGACTCCTCGGCTTCTTCTAGGGACCTTTGGGCAGACTCTTCCTGGCGCTGTTTTGTTACGGCCGCCTCTTGAACGTCGACGGCCCACATGTGGTCATCGGGATCTCCTGTGGCTTCTGCAAACTCCATGGCGGCTTCTGCAGCCACTCGCCCAAGGAAGGTAGATAAGGCTGGTGTATCGGCTAATTGGACAAGTTGCGAAATCATGCCACGTATTTCGCCGCTAGTACGTTCGGTTTCATCTTCTGCACCTTTTTTGAGGCCGCGAAACGCTTGGTGCACAAACAACGCTAACTCTCTAATCATGTCTGAGTGAGATACTATAATCTGCGCGCATTCGTCAACATTGACTGTTGACGCCATCACGTAGTGGTCATTATCCAATAAAAGTTTGTCGTTGCACTTTACAAGACTGGTAGCCAACAAGATGCAGCCACGGCGTAACAATTGATGAGGAGTGTGGTTAGCCCGCTGCGGAACAGAATTTGAATCCAGTTCTCGTCGCAGAGCAATGTAGAGATAGCTTGTGATATAGCTAGCCTTCGTTCCATCCGCACAATCAATATCATTGGGGGCACGAGACCGTGAAATATGCATGCCGCAGAGTGCTGCCATGACGCTTATGACGTGATTGCTCAATGCATCCTCCACCTGCAAGGGACAAGGCCGCGCAATATTTGAGATCTCCCACGATGTGGTGGAAGCAGCCCTGGTCGCACGAGCACGAGCAATCTTTCCCTTCACGGGGAATTTGGAGGCAGGACTCTGAGCAGCAGTGACAGGGCGGACATCGCTAGCTGAGAGAATCACAGCTTCAATCAACCGTGTAGCTGCGGGACAGTCTTCATCCTCTTGCGAAAGGGATATTGTTGCTCGCGTCATCCAACTAGTCCATAACTTGGTTCCCATCCATTCTGGGGATAGCACTCCTCGCAAGAGAAGCTTTGCAAGTTCGTCGAAGATATAAGAGCGACTGGCAACGCCATGATGAGCATATTTGCGTAACAATCGGATCGGATCCGAAGGATCATTCTCAACCGCCGGCCTTAAAGCCTGGGGGTAAGGGTAACTTTTGCGTGTAGAAAGCAATGTAGAGAGCAATGAGTTACTTTCTTCGGGCGCAAAGGAATGACATTTCTCAATCAGCGCGCAGGCAATCGAATCAGTTATCCAATGGTTCTGTATCAGGGTAGAAACCAAGTAGATACCCTGTGCGCGAACAGCCTCGCGGAGTGGCTTCCAACCTGTCCCACAAGGCGCATAAAATGCTTCCAATTCTGTAAAATATGCATCGCACATGTCTTCGTCCCCGTCCCCATCCAACTCGTTCTGCGCTTCCTGCTCGCTCGCAATAAATTCAGGTAGACTTCGCACAACCATAGACAGCAGGGATCGCGCACCGCGCCTGTTGCTTCCAGTTACGGGTTTCCCTTCTTGCTTGGATACCACAGTGTTACAGAGGAAATTTTGGAAGACACGATCGAGGTTGTGTGCAATGTCGGCGAAGCCCAGATCACCAGACTGGTCGAGAAGTTCTTGCCAAGGGCTCTTGTGGAGCGAATATCGATCACGGAAGACTTGCGGTTGTGATGGTTGGATATTGGAGTTGGCTTGGCCTTCCAACCGTTCTGACTGTGCACTCGGGGGCATCTCCCATCTCCTCCCAGTGATGAGTGGTGTCGCGACCTCAATAGCACCAGGTAGGGTTCGTGGGGCTTCCGGGCTGTGTATTGATAACCTGTTACGTTTTTTGCCTCCAGTCTCCTCTGTTTTGGACGAATACTTGTGCCTGGGTCGACGTCGCTCGGGCTTTTTCCCTGGAATCCAAGCTGGGTCGTTTTCATCCGGATCCACATCTGAACCTGAGCAGTTTTGCTGGCTTTCTGGTTTGTAGTCGGTTTCCAAAATAGGCATATCACTGCCCTCTGCAGTTTCTTGTGGTTTCGACTCGGTCGCGATCATCGACTGCGTTTCTTTGTGCTTTGCGATTCGACGGCAGATGGAGGTCAAGGGGCGCAGGACACGGTTTGCCCATTTTGCGGTGGCTTGGCCGTCCTCCATTTGGAACGAAAGGACTAATAATATCTGATAATAGTATACAACTGCCAGAAGAATCAGCACTGTCATAAGTTCTATTATTGGTCATTGGGGTCGCATTGTACCAACCTGGCCGTACCAACAAACCCTTCA